TTAATTTATATTTTCAAGCAGAAGCTTCAATTGAAAATGGCATCCTATGGCCTGCAGACATAGCTCTAGTGCAAGTTTCAGGGGAGCTGTAATAATAATGCAGTGCCAGCAGTGACGAGGAATGATAGGACAGTGAAGAAGCAATTTAAGAAAGAAAAGAGAATGTACCAAAGCTTTATTGTAGCATATCTAATGATCTGCTGAAGATTCCCAATAGCTTTGGGAGCATGACAGGAGAAACTAATGTTATCTTGCCAAAACAGAAGCCCCTGCTTAATCAGCAGAACAAGATTATTGATTAAAACACCTTGCACAATAGATTGCACATGGAATCTCATCTCCATACATTGCACATGAAAAAGTGCAATAATAAGCATAAAGTAATAATAATAATAATAATAAAAAAAGCAAAAGCAATTTGTTGGGAATTGTACAAGTCAAGATTAGAGTTGAAATACAAACAAATTATCATGGAAAATACAGCTGTCCTTATAGCTGAGCAGGGAGGATGAATGCAGCAGGGACAGGGCTACATCATGAGCAGAAGATAATACCAGGCCTGCTGGAGCTGCTTTACTTTCCTTTTTCTTTCTGTATTCATCTGAAATGTGAAGGGCCATTCCTCATTTGCACAGTCTTCTTCCTGAGGTGAAAGGAGTTCAGACATTATACTGTAACTGTTAATTAAACACTCCATTTGATTTTTAGATTACTCTAAGTGATGCATGTGCATTATGAAGATGTAACCTTTCTTCATTCATACTAAAATACAGAAGGAACGCGTGTCAGAGTACACAATTGCTCTTTGCATTCATGTGAATAGTGGTAATTCCTGCATTTCCCCTTGCAAAACTCTTGTCGCTGCTAGCACAAGAACCTGAATTATTCTTTCATTACTACAGGTAGTTCTTTCCTAACTAGCATTTCAAATTTAATTAATACATTACCTTTCCTAAGTTAACTGTTACTGAGTTATACAGACCTCTTTGCTGATCTGCTGTATTTCCTTGTAAATGACAAAATCATTGCATCATAAATCTTTGTGAATGTTGTGAATTCTTCCTGAGTGTGAAGATATTTCTCAGTGTGCAATCATACAAGTTTTAAGACTGTACATAACCCCCTGAAAATGTCCATATTTTAACATATGCTGGGGAACTATGCAGTTATGTGGATTGCAGAGCACTTAAATGGTATTTAAAACCTACAGAGAACTTAAACACTAGATTGCAAACACTGAAACACCAGAGTATTTGTGATTTGTCTTCTTAAGTTTGCAGAAATTACAGCTGGTTTCTATCACTCCTTCATTGGAACAATTCTAAAAGCGCTTGAATAGATAGACCAAATTAACAATATGTCATGTAGAAAAAAAAACTTGTTAAGATGAATGAGGGACTTCAAGTTATTTGCCAGTTCAGGTTTTCAAGGTTTAAATTTTTTTTTTTTTTTAATTTTTTTTTTTTTTTAATTTTTTTTTTTTTTTAAATTTTTTTGTCCTGATGGTGTCTAGGCCAATTTTGCAATTTCCAAGGCACTTTATTTCTACAATAGTCTTGCTTTGGAGAATCCTGTGACAAAGAAGGTGCTTGCCCGTTACAAAAAGGAATGGGTCACCATATTTAAGGCTGTAACAGCGGAATATCTTCTTCTTCAAGCACAGTGTTTCTAAGTGTAAAGGTTTCTTAAAATTATGGAGTTCCGATGTGGCAGTGATGAGGTATCTTTGATATTCTGTAGCCACGTAGGATAATCTGCTGTTTAGTGCTATTCTGTGGAGAGTGGAGTCTCTTTTATCCAATATGCTACAGAATTTGGGGCTTCTTGTCTTTAAGAAGTTCAACTGAAACCCTTACCAGTTTGTAATTTTTTTTTTTTGTATACAGTAGCAGAAGTATAGGCCAATAGCTAACAGAGAAGTATCCCTGGTTTTACAGAGAAAAACAGTGCAGCAGACAGAAGGCTTTAATTTATCCAGAGAATGAATCACAGTAGTGTAAATTCCCTGAATTACTTGTCTCAGACTACCTCTACAAAATTCACTTATTCTTGGTCTCTTCTCTGTAACCCGTGAATTAGGATTGATAGCTGCTGTAGTTGCTGTTGGTTTTTCCTAAAAGTCTCACTCTAATGGAAATATGACCACTAAATAGGTAAAAATGGTTACCTGAATGTCAGCTTTTTAAACTGAAAATCCTAATCAAGTGTCTTTAATTTGAAATCTTAGAAGTGTATGTAAATCACTCAGGTTTTATAAAATACAGCCAAGAGTGCAGCAAAATCAGTGATTTGAATTTAAAGCACAAATCATTTGATTTAAAGCACAAATATACTATTCATTAGTTATTCAAGTAAGTTCTTGGGGAAGTGCTGGTGGGTCTGGTACCACTGCTGTATACTGCAGCAGTGGACATAACTCATTGTTTTGTAACTGGGATCTTGGGTTTGGCCAAAGTGGGGCAAAGCGTGACCATATGCACAGCAGGTGAAACTTTTCATAAGGGAATTGTCAAAAGTTTTTAGAGTGTTATCAATTTCCTGTAAACACCACTCAGTGCCTGAAGTTTGACTCTGACACTTACTGTACAAAGAAAAAAACCTGCATTTTCTTCTGGATTATTATTACACATCCTTTTGATAAAACCTAGCATGAAGTTCTTCTCAGTTTCTTGGCTGATGGCAGCAGTATGAATCTTTTGCTGGGAGAAAATGAAACTGAAGAAAACAGCTCTTCACAGGGAAATTAGTCTATCTTTTTCTCACTGCTAAATATGACCTTGGATAGCTTCATTCTCAAGCAATTTCTCCCAACATGTACTCATTTTGTTTTGTAACAAATAAATAATTCTGTCTTAATTGCTGCTCATTTGAGTATAAAATAAAATTTTCATACAGCTCAAAGCTGTGGAAGCCATCATACTGAGGATGCACTAGAAGAAGTCTTGTAGGAATTACTTTGGCTTTGGCATAAAGCTTTTGCTAAAGGAATGCAAATTTAAGGAAATTTGCTACAAAATCTTACATCCCAGATTTTCTCATGCTGGTTAGTGCACCTGAGGTGTGGCATGTACAAACCCCTGTACTGGGGATATTGCAGAGAGGCCTGTGAGGTTTGGGGCCACGTTGCCTTGTTGCCTTCTCCTGCTTCTGCAGCCTCCATCTACAGCACACACACAGCAGCACTCTGTCCCTCATGGCAGGGGCTGTGTGCACGTGTTCACACACTGAGTACAGTGGTTTTCTCAGCATGCTGCGTGCACATTTCAGCACTCCAGCCTGGCCCTGAAGCCACTGGGTGTGTCAGAGTTGTTCCACACTCTGGCATCCTGCACGAGCTGCTGCACTCACTGACTGAGCCATTGGGCTGGGAGTGGGGTGGCAGTGTTTGTGCAAAAGCTGTGCAGGGGACCTGGCTTTGCCCTTGGAAATGGTGGCAGATGAATTCCTAGCACCCATCCGTATCCATGGTTGTGTATATACAGAAATCCCTGACTATATCCAATTAGTTCTGCAGTTATGAGGCTGAAAATGGTAGAAATGAGCAACTTTTTAAAAAAAATTTAAACAAAAATTTTAAAAAATAAGAAAAAGAAAATAAGAGTTAACTGATCAACTCAGAGAGCTTTTGTCTCAGTTTGCTCAGCAGAGAGGCACAACATGTCCTGACTGGCTCTGTGCTAGTTTGATTACTGTATAAAAAAGGAAGTCATTTATAATAGAGTTCTTTGAATATATTTGCTCTACCTTCTATGAGGTAGCATGAAATATTCTAATACCTGTTGGTGCTGTACAGCTGTGGAAGGCCACTGCTATAAGGCAGATTGTTTTAGCTTGGGTTATGTGCTATTCAGGAGTATGGGAAGAAGTAGGGCAATAGGGAAGTTGATGTACAGCTGGAGTCAAAGGCTAGTCTATTATTTAAGTTCAGACTTCTGTTATTCAGTTTGCTGACAAACAAAACTAATCCCTGAAATCAGCCAAGTTCTTTCCCTTTTACTCACCAAACTCCCTGACCTTCCCTTTTTTTATTTCCTCTTCCTTGTGAGTGTTTTCCTGTATTACATTTTGACTATCTCTTCAAGATTAGGTGATTGTTCACTTCTAACTTCCAAGTTAATACTTGGGGTTTTGGTGGTGGTTTTTTTTTTTTGGTTGTTTTTTGTTGTTGTTTTTTTGGGTTTGTGGTTGTTTTTTGGGTTTTTTGGGGGTTTTTTTTGTTTGTTTTGTTTTGTTCTGGAAAAAATAATAGTAGTCTAAAATCTATTATTATTATTATTACCCTTCAAAAACATGAAGTTCAGTAGATCCTCACAATTAGAGGCATTGTAATAAAGTTCTTTGTATGAAAATGCATTTTCTTTCATTGTTAAGCAAATAATTGTTATGTTTCAATCTTCTCAAAAATACCTCTGAATTAATTTTCTTTACTGCTTCCTGTAGCCTAACAGAGGAAGCTTAGTGTCCACCAATTGCTCCTAAAATAATTAAAATGGAAATGATTATGTTCTTTGTCTGTAATAGCTCTTCCAACCAAAATAATTTCCTTGAATCACAAGAAGAATCTCTCTGAGATGTAAATGTGAATAGTTATTCAGCAGGATGTATGTCTCTAAAGATGGAAGGAATTACTCATTGTTGTTATTATATATTATTCAAAATAGCACATTTTTTCAATCCTATTGTCTTTGCATTTTGTCTTCATTTTATTGAACAGTAGTATCAAATCAGTCTGAACTTGGTACTTGATACAGTTATCTCTGCCAGTGGGGACAGTTAAGATAACATTGATCTCCAAATTTAAAAGTATAAAGCCTGAACTAAAATATTGTCCTGAAGTCTTCTTTTGGACTTTGGCTAATTAGTATTAATTAACTTTGTTGTCTTATGGATTGAACTGCCCAAGTGTGAAGAGAGTTAGCACTGAATGTAGTCCTTTAGTATGAACTAGCAAATTAAATGTAATTTTAAATTAATTAGCTTGCTTTCTTTTCCTATTACAGGTGCAACAACCGAACACAGTGTATAGTAGTTACTGGGTCAGATGTGTTTCCTGATCCTTGTCCTGGAACATACAAATATCTAGAAGTTCAGTATGAATGTGTTCCTTACAGTAAGTATAATCTTTTTATTCTTGCTCACTTCCTCTGGCCCTCACAATTGAAGCTGGAGTGCTGTTCCATGGAAAAGCAGCATATGTTTATGGCCCATGGACCCATTATGCATGCAAAGCACTTGCAGACTAGGGCCTCCAATTAGCTTCACAAAGTGTGGAAGGAAGCCATGGTGTGATGCTGGCCAAGTGTCTGTCTGTGTTCTTAAGTGTTTGGCTTTTAAGGCTACTGTTTTTCCAGAAAACAAACTCAAATTAGCTATTCAATAGGCCAGATAGAAATTTGTACTTTTGCCCGCAACCAGTTGCTGACAAATTGGCTTGGCTCACAGACTTGTAAAGCAGGAATTGACTTCAATTTTAATCATGATCTGCTTGAAAGGCTACCTGCTGCTGTGGTGACTTTGGGTGCACAGCAAAACCCAGCACTGACATTCAGAGGCAAGTGACCCAGTTGGGGGACATTGTAAAAGGATTTTGTGCTTCGTTATAAATGGACGCAGATTCAGAGTGAATAATTCATTAATGAGGTACTCACACTGTGTTCTCTAAAAGCAAAGGGGAAAAGAGTGAGAAAGAAATGTTTGCTTTTATTTGAAAGATAAAATATCAGTTGTGTTCTCGAATCAGCTAGCAAAATAGAGTTTTTCACTGAAAACAAAGTAAATAGTGAAATCATGATGAGATAGAAAAATGTGAAGTTATGGCTATTTCAGCAGTTTTGTACAATATTCTTTATAATACCAAAGTTCAGTAGCTTTAGACATACTTCTTATTTCCTTGCAATAATTAATGCTTTTTTTTATTGATATGTATGCATGTTCATGAACGTTCTGCAGATTCAATACTTTTAACTGGTTTTTCTTTCTTGTAAGGTCATTCTTTGCAGTGACTTCTCTCTTGTCCCGTAACTCAACAGAGAAATAGCTGTGCTTGCAGTGGAATTTGAGCAGTGCACTGATCATTCCCTTGAGTTATTATTAGGCATGAATTTCGTGACCTGCAGTAATCCTTAACCAAAGTCGTATTTTCTGTTGGTACAGGAAACAGGCCAAGTGAGATGCAAAAACACTGTGGTGACAGTATATATTGAAAAAGAAAAGAAATAAGTTCTGGCATAAGCAAAGCCATGCCAAAACTGTTCATACTGTTTCCTGCAAAATTTAGAGTTCTGAAACTGAAATACTACTCCGTACTGCTTCACCATACTGAACCTTCACTGTTGTTAAAGGCCAAGCACAGATCATCTGTTTTTTCTTCATTTCTGCTGTGTCACTGTAAAATGGTTGCTTGCTGATTTTTTTTCCCTGTACCATTTGTAGGTTTGGAAGCCTACTGCAAACAGTGATCCCTAGTACCATTCCTCCTGTGTGTAGTATTGGTGGCTTGTTGTAACTGTTCTTATTGTGCCACTTTTGAGGAGTGATGTCTTACCCCAATCTAACCAAAGTTTTGTTCCACAAAGACCACTTCTGCTTTAGCACTGTTTTAATTTCCAAATTCTCAGAAAAAGGGCAGTGCATCTGATTCCAAAACCTGAGGCCAGTCAAGTGACAAGAAGTTACGTTTCCAGTTCCAGTAGGCTAGCTCACAGAGGAAAAAATGTAATGCAAATAATGTTCAAACATGATTTCTTGTGCTGTTTTAGGAAGAGAAGTGTGGATATGTTCTACTGATTGGGTATTGCTATCTCCAGGAATCTTTTCTTTTCCAGTTTCAGAAGTATAGTGCCACAGCGCGGCCTACCCTGTACTCTAACTTGTAGTTACTTTAATTTTAAAGTGTTTATTTCTGTTTACTGTCAGTTGCATTGGCCTACCATTTGAACTCTGTAATTGTATGCCTATCATAACTCAGGATTCTGGATACTTTCCTGTTTTTCCAAGTTCTTTAAGTTTTGGAGTTTGTCAACTGCAGCATGTACAGTGATGACACTGCCCAATTCCAGAACTGTAAGAGGCATCACCTGTCATTACCAGCAGTCATCAAAAAGATTGCCAGTTACTAAAATGAGTTTTGAAGGTTGATTTCATATCACATTGTGCTTCAGTAGCCATTTTGATTGTTGACTCTCTTCCCTGTCCCACAAAGCCTATCCTGTTATTTTTCCAAGTTTCTTTTTTTGATACCTGGTAAACTCACATTTTCAAGTCTAAATTTTATTTCTTTATTTGTTCCAGAGCTCCTTATCTAAATTTACAGAATGACTGAAATAATTAGATTTGCAAATAGAATCTGTCTCAGTGTAAGAGACTACTTATGAAGGTAGGATAAGCTTTTGTGGGCCCAGGAAAGGAGGAGTTTAGTGACCACAGCACTTCTAACCAAAGTTTATATATTTAATGAATTTTATCTTCAGTTACTGCAAGACTAAAAAATTTGCAATACTCACTATGGTAGCTTTCAGTCCATGAGAGATGACAAACAGCAATTATAATAGGTTTTGTGGTGAAAGGTGAGAGTTCTTACACACTGGGGTTGCTGTCACCCTTGTACAAAATGCAGTTTATGAGATCCTCTATGTCTTGCTGGCCTCCAGAAATATGTAACTGCTTTGCTTATTGGAAAGTACTTAATTTTGCAATTTAATTAAGTTTGAAAGTACTTAATAAATGCTTCCTTTCTTGCATCTGAAAGTGAAAAGAAAAACAAAAAACCAGCAAAATAACTTTTCAGATACTCAGATTCCAGCAAAAATTCCAGACAAACTTGATAGGCATTGCTTTGTCCTGAAATAATAAGAGTGCTATCAATTAAATTACAAAGAGATTGAGAGTACAATACTTGACATTTCTCTCACTTATGATTCACGATGTATGTTGGCACTTTGACTAACAGAAGCCAGCCCTTTTATAAAGAACATTAAAAGTGCCATTTTGTGTATCTCTGCATTTTTATTTTAAGCCTATTTTGGACTCAGGAATTCAATAGAAAACATTATAAAGTGTTTTATTCTCTCTCTATGTGTATTGATTGGACTTTGCAGCATTTGTTTATTTCAATAAGCCCATCTGTCCCTGAAAAACATACAGCTGTACACCAATGCATGCAGAGCAGACATGCCAGTAATGATTTTAGTTATCCCTATCTTTTCCCCCCTGTCTCCTATTACTAATTCGAAGCAGGTACAGTATCAATATTGCTCTTTGGTGAGAAATAAGCAAATGCATGGAAGTTCACAAACAGAATCATCTGAAAGTCATTAATACTAATGGTGAAACCCAGGAATTCATCTCAGACTACATCTTCTGTTTACTCAGATAAATCCAGAATTACAAATTACAGAAAAATGAGTATTTTGCCTAAAGATGTATAACAGTGCAAAGGCTAGGAAAACTACTGCTCATTTTGAAAATATTGACACCCTCCAGTTCCCCTGTAAAGTTATGGAATTGTTTCCTGAACAAATGCTAGATCAGATCTGCCAATATCATTCTCAGAATAATCATATGTAATTTTATTAAATGAAACTGAAAATCCAAAACTTTATATGAAACATACAACGGAATTCTTCAGGATAATACTGTAATACTGAAAATGTAATAGCTGTGCAAATAGTTTTGAAACACTTTCCTGGTATCAGCAGCTACTGTTACACAGCTTGGTACATCTGTCATTTTCCAGGTCATTTTATGAAACCAAGGGAGCATACTTCAAAGGCCACAGAGTACATGAAATAGGTTTTATTGCAAATAATTATTGAAAAGCTATTTACTAGCTGGGCTTCAGCTATATATCTTTCTGTAACTTCCTTAAAACTTCCTGGGGGAAAAAATTGCTACAGTAATATAACTTTATTAATTGGGTTCGGTTTATGTCTTCCATGTATGGTGGCAGGATGGATGTTTGTTTTAGGCACAATACTGTTCTTGCATACTAGCTTGCTGTTTCGGGCTTAATCGATGATGCTGGAGAATATCTGAATGACCTAATTGTTAATCTTTTCTTCTCTTTTCCTCTTGCTTACTGTGCTTTTGCTTCTTTTTTTCTAGATGTTTTTGCTTATTCCTTCTAGTCTGATTTTGCAGTTGTAGACTCAGAAGTGGCAAAAGTTCTCAAGATTAACATTCAGGAAAACAAATAAAATACAGCCTAAGGAGACCCAAAGGCTGCAAGCTGCTTTCATTACAAGAAAGAAAAGCAGGGAAATGTCTGGGGCAAAGATGGGGAAGGTTTAATAATCACATATGTAAACCTATATAATTAATATACTGAATTTTGTATTTCTAATTATCAATTAATACAATATGTATATGTGCGCTTGCACATATATCATAAAGTAATATGTCGCTTAAAAGCCAACTTGATTAGCATTATGCTTTTAGAAGAAGAATGTATATAGCATGTATTAGTAAAGTAATTCATTATTTATTCAGGTTCACTAAGTGAAACTACATGTCAACATATCTGTATTCCCTCCTTAATCTACTATAATTATTGATCCATGTTCATTTGCGTAACCATAGAATCTCTCTCCTGCTAGGTTATCCTGTTGTCTGTTTCTCTTTATCCAATATAGTGCAGTTCTTATTCTCCCTATATTTAGCGTCTGTTACTAATTTAATCTTTTAGACTAATAGTCAATTTATGTTAATCTTCTTTCTTTTTTCCTTGCACTTTTTTATTTTTCTTCCGATGCTTAAAATAGAAGTGGAGCAAAAAGGTAAATAACGTATACAGTCCAAACCCCAGCTCCTTGTTATGTGCCTTATGGATGTTAACCTCTTCCCTTCCCCTCCCCACAACACTCTTATATTATGATAATCAGCAGGATCTCATAAGTACACCTCATAAAGAAGTCGACTGTTTGCAATAAAGTGACTTGGCTGCTTAAAGTAGGTGGCGGGGTATAGTGTCTGAAGTACTTGGGCTGGAGGGAAGACTCCCTTGCTTTTTTCTCTCCCTTTCTCTTTGTCTTTCTTTTCCTCTCTTTCTCTCACCCTTGGGTAAATTCTTGTTAATCAAGTGTCATCTTGCCTGGCTTCCAGAACCCTCTCCATAGCATGCCATGGTTACAGGGTTTCCTGGTCTGTTTCATTCATTGCTTTGGTTGTGTTTTGTTTTCTCTGCTCCTAATTGCTTTCTCTATATACCTGATGATTTGTTTTGTTCCTTTATTTTTAATCGAGGCACCTCCTTTTTCAGCCTCACCACTTCTTAAAGTTCTAAACAAGTTGATGCGATTTTTTTTGGACTGAAATGACCTAGCACACTGCTGCACACCAGTTAAAAGCTCTGGAGCGTTAATGTGTACTCACTAAAAGTCTGAAACGAAAATGGAAGAGTAGCTCTACATTTTCAGCTGTCTGTGTATGCCATTGAGCCTTGGTCTGTACTAGTGAAAACAGTTCCCATCCACTTTCCATACTGGTACAGCAAGAACATGGTAACTTTAAGAAAAGTGGATGATAAAGGGTGTTAATTGCATTAATTATAACATAAGGTATAATCTAGTGCCAATTAAATTGATTTTTTTTTTCTTCCTGACACAGTCATTATGATTTACCTACCTTTTTGGGTTTTTTTTGGTTTGTTTTTTTTTTTAATTTTTATTATGAGCCGGTCTTAATTTGACGTAATTCTTGTCTTACTTCTCTCTGTGACTGTTAGTTTTTGTTTGCCCGGGGACGTTGAAAGCAATTGTGGACTCACCGTATTTATATGAAGCTGAACAAAAAGCAGGTGCTTGGTGCAAAGATCCTCTCCAGGCTGCAGACAAAATATACTTCATGCCATGGACTCCGTATCGCACGGATACTTTGATAGAATATGCTTCTTTAGAGGACTTCCAGAACGGACGCCAGCAGACGACGTACAAACTCCCAAACCGAGTGGATGGTACTGGATTTGTAGTGTATGACGGCGCTGTCTTTTTCAACAAGGAAAGAACTCGCAACATAGTAAAATTTGACTTGAGGACTAGAATTAAGAGTGGAGAGGCCATAATCAATTATGCTAATTACCATGACACCTCTCCCTACCGATGGGGAGGAAAGACTGATATTGACTTGGCAGTTGATGAAAACGGCTTGTGGGTAATTTATGCTACGGAACAAAACAACGGGATGATCGTAATTAGCCAGCTGAACCCCTACACCCTGCGCTTCGAAGCCACCTGGGAAACGACCTACGACAAGCGGGCAGCATCCAACGCTTTCATGATCTGTGGTGTCCTGTACGTGGTGCGGTCGGTGTATCAGGACAACGAGAGTGAGACCGGCAGGAACGCCATCGATTACATCTACAACACCAGGTTAAGCAGAGGCGAGCACGTGGACATTCCTTTTCCCAACCAGTACCAGTACATCGCCGCAGTGGATTACAACCCCAGAGACAACCAGCTGTATGTGTGGAATAACAACTTCATTCTGCGATACTCCTTGGAGTTTGGCCCGCCTGATCCTGCCCAAGGTAAGAATTTCTTTTTTTTCTCATTTTTCATCTCTTTGTGTTTCCATTCAGAGAAATAAGTTACAATATTTTTGCTCTTAGAGTTAGCTCATGACAGAAAGGCGAGGAAGGATTTTTTGGCTGCATTGTGCGAAGCTGAGCAGCATTACAGCGGTGCAAGACAAATTTTCAGAACCTGTGAAGAGAAATAGAATTACTTTATTTGGTTTACAGGCTCGTACTGTTCTTTTTTTATTTTTCTTTTTTTTTTCTTTTTTTTCTCTCTTCCTTTTTTAAAATGCAAGTGTGTAGCTTTTCTGCGGTTGAGAACGAGTTGGGGAATTCTTTACTTTATACCATCAGTCAGTTTGACTCCAATAGCTACACGGAGCTGGAGTTGCTTCGTGCTGAGCCAGAAGCCTGTTCCCATCCGCTCGGTGTTACCTGCCTTCTGGATTGATCGCAGCACACACGCAGACCTTTTAACTTCTTGGCGCCAGCAGTGGAGAGCAATGTGTGCTGGGAGGTCCCAGAGGAGACATATGGGGTTAATGTGCAATACCAAGCATAAGTATTTTTCTGCAGCCTTATTTTCACAGTTTCTAATGGCGGGTTAGACAAGATTGTCTGACATCTTTTTAGTGGATTTCTCAGTAAGCTCCTTACAATTGCATTCCAGCTTGTTAGAAGTTAGTACTACTTCTTGAAATGAAAGATACTAACTGTCAAAAGGGAAAAGAAAAATGGAGGTCTCTAGGTGTCAGAAATCCCTAAAAATGGCATGAACAGGCACAGCCACATATTAACATCTGCAGAGGAGAGTAAATACTAGGAGAAATGCTCTGTGGCAGAAGATGAATGCAGCAAAAGCTGCTTTAGCAATGAAGGTAATACTTCACTTCTCTCATCTAACTGCTATGCATGTTTAGCAGCCGTTTTTTCTACTCAAGAAAGTAGTAATAATGGCTTCTCCACATGAAAAGTTGCTGTACTGCTTCAGCAAAGCTGATTCATGCACCGCAGTGCAAACTGCATTATGCACACAGTTATAACAACACCCATATAGCTTTTCCAGGTACAAAACTGCATATGAGGCAGCAGAACAGGGTGGTTAGTGATTTCCAAAGCCATGGGTGATCTGTCCAGTTTCCACAGACCTCCCTGGCAATACCTGGCCAGGCTCAGGCAGGTTACAGGTGTTTGGGGAACTGGCCAGCTTTGCTCTCTGTACATTGACCAAGTCCATTCCTCAGGGAGGCTTTGGGGCTGCTCTTAGCAGAGAGATAAACCACCTGTGTAATTAAAAAAAAAATAAAGCTTTCATTTTCATACATTCTCATGCATTCCACTTTTCATTCAGTTCAACTGAGACAAAGATGCATTTTAAATTCTCCAAAGCTTTAAGAGTAAAAGGACAAAATGGAGGTGTAGGCAGCTGCTGTGAATGTGAAAAAAGCTAATCTTTAAGTCACTGCATAAAAGAAAAAGTGTAAAGAAAAAGCAGGGGCAGAAAAGGCTTTGTGGAATCCTTTCTTCACTTTAGTAAACCTCCAAATGTCTCCAGGATGACATTTCATAATGTTTTTATTATGAGAGAGTCTTCAAGATCTTAAGTTATGGTGTATGTGCTGGCCACATCCCATATGCTCTCAAAACCAGATTTGGGCATCTACCAGCACCCTTTTCACTTCCTGAGTTCCTTGCTGGCATGCGAGGAAGAAGCAGAAATAGTTCATTCCAACAAGACCTAGGCGAGAATGGGTCCAGGGCACACTGCAGGGTACTTGCCTCTCCTCTGAGCTATTTGCCCATTCACCCATGAAGACAGAAAAGGAATATTTGAGTAAGTTATGAGTTGGGTTTTAAATGCATCAGTAAATATGTTTTGATTCTGGTCTTTATAAAATATAGAAACAAACAAAGACACTCATTTTATTTGAGCATATGATGCATATAGTCACAGTATTTTTCTTTAGATAAAGCCAATACCCAATATTTTAATTTTGTATGGGTATGTACATTGCAGATCTAAGAATATGTTTCAGGTCATTTCCTCTTTTGGCTAAGCCAATTGCCTGTAGTTAGAAACTACTAAATGAAAGGAAAAAATATCTAACATAATTGTCCTTGAGATGTACTGCTATAAGAGCAAGGAGAAATTCTTTATGGTGTCTACTTCTATATTTATTTTTATTATATTTCCAGTTCCTCTTTGTTTCAGCATTGTTTCTGTGTAAATTGCAGCTCAGTCCCTCGACTATTATATAAAGGATCTACACATGTAATACACATTTGGATTTTTTTATCTCATATGGAATTTTAAGCACGCTTGATGAACAGCATTTTCATGTTTCTTTTATTTTAATTTGGTTTGGGTCTTTTGTGGTCAACTCAGATTTCTTAATCATCTACTCAACAACGTAAGAGTTACAATAAAATTCTGTAAGTCACCTAACACAAGAACTTTCTTTTAGTGTCCTTTGCAACAGTACTGTAATATCAAGTATTTAATGGTGTCACAAGGTCAGTATCTCAAAATTGGAAGTCATGGCCCTTTCTTTTCAAATGGTTAACTTGGGACTATTGTGGAAAACTCAGTAATCTGTGGTTCCTCCATTGCCAAGTGAGAAATAATGATAGATAACACACACACTGATTTTAGTTTGTTCCCTATATATCTGTCTTGGCTATTAGTTTTTGTCTACACCACAATGTCCAGCTCCCAAGAGCTTCAAAAACACCAGTCTTTCTTCCTAAATGAAAGATGAATTTGTCATACTTGAGTTGCACTTTGCCTTCAAATTTGCTCCCGGAGCTAAAACTTGGGCTCATCCATGTCCTGAAACTCATGGCTTTGTTTTCTCTATTGTCTCCATCATTTTTAAATCTCCATGTTGACACCTCTGAAATACTGCAATTAACCTAATGTTGACCTTGCTCTTGCTGCAAATCTACACCACTTTCTCTTCTTGAGACTTTCCCAGTATCCTTATTTTCTTAGTCTTCAGGAGAAACTCTTCAGATTTCTAAAACTGTAGTTGCTGGAGGTAGACTACTGCTTTAGTACTCAGACAGTGGGGTCTGCTGCCCTTATCACTCCTCCCTTAACCCTATTATTTTTATGTTATTTTCTTTCTTCTTCTCTTGGAAATTATAGTACACAGATGCATCATAGAATGATGGAAGGATCATTAAGTCCAACCATAAAGCTCACCCTGCTGAGTCCGCCACTGAACCATGTCCCTAAGCTCCAAGTCTGCACATCTGATGCTGAGCAAATGCCCCAGCTGCATTTGCAAGGGGTCCTTCTGTTTCTGCAGTGCTGGTGTCTGCCAAGATGGTGCATTTGCAAGGTGTCTGCCAAGACAATGCTACGTGTAAAACATTCAGCGTGCAGCTGTGCGTCTCTGGTGTAGATGTAGAAATGGTTTTCAGAGCTACAGCTGTCAAGTACCACTCAGATGTTGCAGAAGAGCATGTTTTCTAAGATTAAGGACAAAAAATGTTTAAAAATCAAAACCCTAATTTTAAAATTAAATCAAATATATCAGGCCTTGCAAAAAGACGCTGAAAATTTTGAGACAAACCAGAGTTTCTATATCCTTGGTAAATTTAGTGGATACATCCAGTTACATTCTTTCTACAGGAGGTACCAAGGGTCCAAATGAATCCTTGGTGAAACAGGAATTTTTAAAGGAATTCTAAGTTAAAAAACTAGGAAGAATGAGGGAATTTTCCCTCTAAAAAGTGAGTATGAGCATTACATTGTAAGGTTTCCTTGGTAACAAAAAGAAGATAAATCCTTTTGTTTTGTGTTAGTGCATTAGGGAGAGATTTCATCTACACTCATCCCAATTTGTGCTAACTGTTCAAACTGTAGTTGTCTCCCCTTTTGTGCCATGATACCCATCATTAAGTATTATTGGATCACTGCAGGAAGAGATGGATGTTGTGAGTATGGACAGAACAGAAACTCAGAGGCTAGCATCACTGAGGGCTTGAGGTAATAGGAAACTAGTACAACACCAAGAATCTACAAGAAAGTCATGCAGCAAATTAAGAAAATTGGGTCTGTACTAGCAAATCAAATCTGATAGACTATAGATGAATGAAAAAGTGGTTGTACAAGTAAAGACAAAATAATGAGGACCAGATAACATATTTCTTAACCACAGGTATTTTGCTAATTTTTTTTTGTCATGTTTGTTATCATTTTCTAGGTGTAAATTTATAAATGCATAAACATTTCTCTTTCAATTGAATGGGATTTGGCAGGGTCAATAGAGTACTGACTAACATAATAGCTGGAGTCACCTATACGTAATTAGGTGACTCTTAGTACCTTCCCTGATATTAACTGAAACACAAAAACAGGTACAGAGAAGTAATAAGCAGAAGGCAGGAAAATTGTGATTTACACAGGTTTATGATCGTTGTTACTTTTACAAAGCAGCTCCATGTATGACACCTTTTGAGAATAAAGGTGGGCACATAGATTTTTATGTGTCCAAATAAATTGAAATACCTGGCCTATAAAAATACACATTTAACTTAAAAAGTCCATGCAGCTGATTTCTCAAATGATCTGGATGCCAGAGGGGGGAATGAAACCATTTTCAAAAGTGGCACATCATTTGGGCATTACAATTAACACAATTGTAAATCTAAGGTTAGAATTTTGTTTTGGGAGGGGATATATTTGATTTGGCTTGATTTAGATTTTTTTTGCCCGCCTAGAATAGAAACCTGTTGGCAAGGAATACTAGATAGCTTGTGTGCTTTCTCTAAATCTGTTCTTCACTGATAGTTGGGGAAAGAAAGTTACTATTCCCCTGCTGTCCTACAGCAGTTGTGTTAAGTTTTTTATAGACATCACACTGCTAAACAGGTGTTAAGTTTTACTCCAGTGGTGTCTTCATTTTTAGTAACAGATAGGATACATAACTGTTTAAATCAACTGTTAGGAACTGCATGAAACAAATGTAAATTAATTACGCCTTAATTTGAGTCTTTGGATTTACTTCTTATTGCTCTTTTCTCTTATTTTCTTAATTTTAATGTCTTCAGCTGATAATAAGAAGAACCTATTCTTGATAAAAAAATAAGGCAGAAAATTCGGTTTTCTCCTCAGCATAACAAGGCTAGTGAAAAAGTCAGAATAGAATCTCACATTGTAAAATGGCTTTTTTGGAGTTGGATAAAAACTACATAGCTTCACCCCTGCTGCTTAGAACAATAGGTTAATAACCTTGACATGGAATTTGTTCTTCTTCTCTGTTGCAGCCTATTAATCATCACTGCCATTATCTTGTATTGGCAAAGTGCTCTGCAAGGCAGAGCCTGCAGATGCCACCACCCTCAGCTTTTGGAACAGGACACATCAGGTGGTGGCAGCTGTCATGTGTCTTCGTGCAGCTCAGGAGAATGGCTGAGCAGATTAAGTTCCACAGGTCATAAAAGACAAAATGGCCTGCCTTCTAAAAGCTAGATATATTCCTTGAAGTGATGTGTTCACTTGTTTCTTAATTTTCAACCATCTTGTTTCCCAGACTTCCTGCACTGTCTGAAGTTTCCTGGTGTATTCTTAAATATGATGACTTCTTTTTTAAAATTTGATTGAAGAGATAAGTTCTTAAAAGTTATCTGCAATGTTTTTCATTTTTTTTTTTGTGGGAGGTGGTTTAAAGTCTTTCTCTTACAATGTGAGATTACTTCTATATATATATTTCTATGTAGTACTACCGTGCTATGCAGGTTATTTTTTAATCATATACTTTGAAATTTATTTTAATGGATATCATGAAAATTGTACTAATTAAAGTTGTGTAGTGACAGCAGAATTATTTTAGCTCAGGGTGCAACACCAAATATGTTCTGAAAATTGTTACCTCACCACTGAACTTCAAAGTGTTTTATGAATTCTGACACTGATATTTTGCTTCTGAGACAAAACTGTCCTAAACATTGCAGGGTTTGAGTAGTAATTGCAATAATGCTAATAGCCATTTTGATGTTTAAATATGTATTAATTAGCAGAGTGTATTAGGAGATGGATCGTAATAATTGGTTGTCCCCTGCATCATCCTCCATCCCCACGAGCTCCCTGTTCCCAGGACCTGATTCAGCAGGCCTTGCCTGACACTTGTGCAAGTGATTGCAAATGCTTTTGACAAATGTTAATTGGGAAGCACTAGAAAGCTGGATGCATTGTAATCAAAAGCAAATTAGAGCAGTTTCACAAGATGTCAGGCAAGCTCTTGCAGACCAGATCTGAGGGTTTCAATAGTCACTGGCTACACCACAAGTTCAGCACAGTTCCACAGGCTGTGTTCAAGCAGCCAAGAATGAGGCTGAAGAGAAGACAGTCCCTGCAGAAGTTTGTGAGCAGGACAGGGATGATAGGCACATTTTTGCCTTCACTCTTGAAAAAACAGATCATGATGATCAAAAGTGCATCCTAAATTCATGTGCAAATAAAAAAACAAATTAATATTCTAAACCTCTAATATAAGTGAAACATAACTGAAAAAGGGTTTTGAGAAAATTGTAATTTGCCAAATGGCTGAAATTTAATATTATGCAAAACATTAATTTACAAAACAACTGCTGAATAAAGTGAGACCTCATTTTGGTTTTATTTTATTTATGATTTAATTTAGAGAAGCTGCATTGTCCAGTAAGTTAAGAGTGCAACAGCCTAGCAGAACAAGAAAAAAAGAGAAAGAAAAAAGCCAAAAATATTTTTTGTGAGTTTATTTGTTCTCAGCTCAAGCCTCTATATTTTTCTGTGCCTGTAAAGCATTTTGAACACGAATGAATATTTGGAAATAATGATAACTGTGGCAGTTGCTTTCCTCACTTGCATTGTTTCTCAATATACACGTGAAGGTGTTGCACAGCTATTCCAGCCTCCACTAGCATTAATTTATATTATCTCTCCAAGGCCTAAGAACCCTGGCATGGCTTGGGCTGTACCTCAGCAGCTCCAGCCATGGGTTCCTGCCATGGGTCAGTGGCAGGAGCAGCTGCACGTCCTGAGCAGAAGGGATTTGGCCTAGGTCTGTCCTGGTGTTTCATAGAAGATGAAAACTTGGTCCTTGCCACTGGCTTGTATGAATTGTGTCTTCCTACCTGCTCTATCAAAAAATGATGTTACAGCCCCAAATGTCCAAAGAGGAGAACACGTGTACCTGCTGGGTGCTGCCTCTGCTTGGAGCTGATCGGGCAAGCAGCTCTCTCAGGCAGCTGGACTGCTGGGTAGGAAGATGTTATCACAATTATTGCCCTGGAAGGTGTGTGCTGGGTGACTTGAAGTTTTGGGGTCTGTTTTTCAAAAATGGTCTCGTTAGTTACAGCCCGTTGCCTTTGTTGTTAAAGCTGGACTACATTGTTCACGGCACACTGATTCAAATGATTCTATCTATTGAGTTGTTCCTGCTGCAAATGTGATTAAGTAATCTTTAATTGCTTTGAGCGTGTTTGTTATGTACTGATAATTCCCTAGTATGCCTTTCAGCTTTCAGAAATGTAACTATCAATTTTTATTACAGAAGAGATTATTTGGAGAATGTGCTGAAACATCATAACAGTATGAGCTGGGAGTAAAAAAAGGAAAAAAAAAAAACAAAAAAAGTCAAAGTTATATCTTAAGCATCCAGAATAGCAATAAGAGTAATATTAAGATAAAGGAAAGGAGACACCAGAGAATCCTTGAAAGCTACATAAATAGCTTTTAAATAACTTTTTTTATATATAATTCTGAAGTAATTTATTTTATTATTACTCTGATTTTTCCCTGTGCAGTGCCTACCACAGCAGTGACAATAACTTCTTCAGCAGAGCTTTACAAAACCACAGTGTCAACCACTAGCACTACATCACAGAGAGGTCCTATAAGCACAACATCAGCTGGAGGAACAAAGGAAGGAAGCAGAGGACCCAAACCACCACCACCACCCATTTCCACAACCAAAATTCCTCCCGTGACAAGTTTTTTCCCTTTGCCAGAGAGATTCTGTGAACCGACTGAGGCCAGGGGGATTAGCTGGCCTCAAACACAAAGAGGAATGATGGTTGAACGCCCTTGCCCCAAAGGAACACGAGGTATTGCCTTTAAAAATATATCTTGATGTCAAGCAGACATTTCAAAAGCAATATGCAGCTCTCTCATGATGAATATTTTTTCATCTCAGGCTGTCTGTCCCATGATTTTTTTTGTTACCCAGAGAGTTCAGTATCTACAGACAGTGGTCAAATTATAATCTGCAATCATCATTTGAGCAGAGCCACAGAATTATCTTGCGCTTGCACTTGTGTGAATCCAGGTCAAATTTTAGGGCATTGCTTGAGGACTGTCGTGAAATATGCTTACAGCTGCCTTTCTCATTATGAACTCCCCTCTGGATGAGCTCCAGGAAAAATCAGGGGCTTTTTGTTTGTTTGCAGAAAACGTCTGGTACTTTTCACTGACTTTTTTTTTATTGCTCTTTGTAATCTACATTATTTCCTTACATTTTTGTCAATTATTGTCAAGTACTACCATTAGCAGCATTCAGAATTGAAGGTTGTTTAGGAGCAATGTAGACAATTTCCTGAATGCATGCAGAAAAATGGTTTCCATTTCACTGTAGTTTTCTACATCTGTTGTAGGAACTGCCTCGTATCTCTGCGTGGTCTTAACGGGAATGTGGAACCCCAAAGGCCCTGATCTTAGCAACTGTACCTCACACTGGGTAAATCAGCTGGCTCAGAAGGTTGGTTGAAACATTTTAATCTGGTGTACACTGGTGATTAAGGATTTTAACTGAGCATTAATATTTGAGTTTGTTGAAGCTGTCTTTATTACTCTGTGTTCATTAAAAGTAGGGGTTATGTGTACTCCATGTGCAAAGTACTGGCCAACAGTTAGGTTCTTATTTGTGTCTTAGTATGCCCTCTCTAAATTCTTATGTTGAATTTGTGATTACATGTTCTCATCACTATTTAAAACAAAGTAGCTTTTCTTGTTTTCAAATACCGAAAGCAATATTTGCTTAAAAAATCAAATACTATACAACACACAGAAAAACCTGATAAACAGCAAGGTCTTTTTTGTTCACTGAAAATTACACTGTAATAAGTAGATTTTTGTCTGAGTGCATGGATAACAGTATGATTAGACCACAGAACCACTTTCTATGTTTTCCTTCCCTACTGAGATTTACAAAGTTTATGAAAACTGGATAATTTGTTGTCAGTACAAGGCTTCTTGACTTTCAAATGCCTCAAGCACTGGTATGAACAAACAGATTTCTTACTGTCTGATAATGGCAGTAAAATAAAAGTGAGGATGAATAGAAGATCGAGCCCAAAAGTCCCACTCAGATTTCTGGTTTTGATGGCTGTTAAGAACTGCTTTTGTGTGTCATGGATCTAAGAACCTTTAATCTTCTGAGATAAAGAGAACGTTATTGGTCTCAATTAGTTACAGATTTCAGTGTATGTGCAAATGGTTATTTCACCACAACAAAGGTACAGAGAGAATTGGAATTAAGAGCCGCAAGCAGAACAAGGGGCCCTGCTGAGATAATATAAACTGTCATTTCAGATCAGAAGTGGAGAAAATGCTGCTAGTCTGGCCAATGAACTGGCTAAACACACCAAAGGACCTGTCTTTGCTGGTGATGTTAGTTCATCAGTGAGGCTGATGGAACAGCTCGTGGACATTTTGGATGCTCAGCTTCAGGAACTACGGCCCAGTGAAAAAGACTCTGCTGGAAGGAGTTATAACAAGGTACACACCTCCCATCACCTCCTCCTGCTGGGATAACAAATGTTCTTGGGTTTGGTATTCTTTTCCTTTCAGAAATATTAATCTATACTTTGTTCCTGCATGTGTATAGTTCTGGAATAAGCATATGAGAGAAAACAGCAGTAAATACACAGTGGAAAGTTGTAATTACCTTCTTTAGGGAATAAGATATAATTCACAATAGCTGACTGGTCCTAAAATACATAGCTGTGTCCCATATTAAAATCTGGAATGCATTATAACTAGTGTGAGGGAAATGAGTATTAGCTCTCAGAAATTCTGTAACAAATCAGCATGTTTATCCAGTGATCCTTTTAACCCTGAACATGTAATAAAATCAGTGGAATTCTGCATAGGTGCAGGGTTTTATTTTAATCTAACTTCCTGCAGAATAATAGCACTTTCTTAGACTTCTAAAGACACCAACATGACTTATAATTGATCTTTATAAAAAGGCCTTACTGCACATAACTAAAACTTGAATTAATGTTTTCTCTGGAAACATGTTCCAAGAAACATTTCAGAGAAAATGTGTCTTTGTGGTTTAAATACAAATTACAGTGTTATTACCTTTCCTCTTTTTCTCAGAGGAAATGTTATATTTCTCAGCCTCTTCCTTGCATGAGCCTAGTCAGCAAGCCACAAAATTAAATATTTTTGCATCCTCCTTTACAGAGAGAGATATCCATGCACTCCTCTGTTATTTTGGCAATAGTTTTATTTACAGTCCCTAGATGCCCTTAAAATAGTTTTCCCAAAGACAGATCAAGGGCCCACACACAGATTTTTTCCTTTGACCTTTTCACACAAACCCCACCATTTGGGCAGAAGTTATCTAGACACCTGAGTAAAAGTTGCTGTGCTGCTTTTGCTGGGGTAGAGTTAATTTTCTTCACAGTGGTTATTATGGGGCTACGTTTTGGATTTGTGCTCAAATAAATCTTCCATATCCTTGATAAAAAGATACTTTTGTTAATGCTGAGCAGCACTTTCACAGCATTATCTTCTTTTTGTACTGCTGTGCTGTCAAGGAATTTGGGAGTGCATGGGAATTTGGGAGGGGACACAGCTGGGAATTCTGAGCCCAGCTGACCAAAGGGGTATTCCAGACCGTGTAACATCATATTCAGCATATAAAGCTGGTGGGAATTAGGAAGAGCTGGGAGACTTCAAAGTTACGGTGTTTGTGTTCCCAAGTAACAATTCCATGTGATGGAGCTTGGCTTTTCTGGGAATGGCTGAACACTTGCCTACCCATGGGAAGCAGTGAATTAATTCCCTAGTTTACTTTATTTTGTTTCACCTACTGAATTGTGTTTATTTCAACTCATGGAGTTTGTCAGTTTTACCCTTGTGATTCTTTCCCCAGTCCTGCTGGTGAGCAAATGAGCAAGTGGCTGTGTGGTCTTTGGTTGCCAGCTAGGCTTAAACCACAGCTGGGAAATCACATTTCCTGTGTGATGTTCTGTGTGATGTAGCCATCATGGACAGAAACTAGATTAATGTCCAGGCTCTCATTCAAAATTAGGATTTGAAACACCAGAGTATTTTTTTTTTCTCTTTCTGAAGTTTTCCAGAATCTTTCTAACTTCTGATTTTCTTTTTCCTTATTAAAAAGCTCCAAAAACGAGAGAAGACGTGCAGGGCTTACCTTAAGGTATATCTCCTGTGCTGTCACCCTGCTTTCTCCCTGCTTCAGCAACCTGCCACGCTTTATCATCTTGCTGCATGATCCTATGTATTTCAGTCTTTGATAAATGTGTATTGTGCCCCATATCAACTTTACAAATGTTGGCTTTGCACAGGTATAACACTCAGAAAAAAAAAATCAAAGTTCATACCTCTTATACCTTAACTTGTTCAAAACTAAAAGAGCAGAAGGGATATTATCTGAATTGGAAGTAACATCTCTCTTGTAATAAAATTTTGGGCAGGGGGAAAAAGCTTGCAACTCAAAGAAATTAGTTCACCTTGGTAGAATTTTATATCAAAGACTGTTTAGAGATAATTTGCTTGTGAGAAAAATATACATTTTATAGCTTGCTTTGTGTGTATTCTTATGCCTAGTAAAATCACTCCTTCTTACAGTTTTGAGAACTGTTACAATTCAGTGACTTGAGGATACAATGCAAAAACAAACATTTCTCTAACTTCACTAGTAAAATGTGTGCCATATATGTCCGATTAACCAGGCTATAGAGAAGGTGTGTAACACATTGCTTCCTGATTTCCAGTTCCTTTCATCAGCTGTAGAATGGCTGCCTGTAGTGGCCAGCTCCTTTGCTGCTGTACAATGCCAGTAACGCCACCTCGCCCCTCTGAAGGGGAAAAAAAAGTCCTAGAACAGACATGTCTGGCAGTGAAAGGTTTTATTGTAGATTTTCTCAAGACTTCTTTTAAAATACTGATTTTTACCTGTATCCTCTGAGATGAAATGTAAGAATTATTTTTGGAAATAATTTTGAAATACTTTATAACATAATAAAAAAATTAATATTCTTACTGAAAAGATATTTCGCTGTGCAGGGCACTTCTGTTTTTTATCCTGAGGCCCTGGAAGTGGATGGGAGATGTCCAGTTATACAGAAATTTGACAAAAAAGACAAAGATCTGGAGAGAAATTAACTTTTCAAGCAATAATAGTTGTAATATGTTTTTATTAGAAACTATATTTTAATAGTAAAGTTTAATCCATCAGATGTGGTTTAGGTAGAGTGGGGTTTTCTGCTTCCTTTTCATTAGTAAACAGGATCGTGAGAAGAGCAGGAACGGGGCTGCTCTGACAGCTGTGTCACAGGGGCTGTGGGGTTTTTCCCATCCATTTGCCTCTGTCTGAAAGGAGAAGCACTACAGAAATATTACTGGGCAGGTGATGATTTTCCACAAGTAAAACACAGAGTTAGGCTATCCCATAATAAATGCAAAGTGTATTGTATCAATGAATGCATACCATCAGTGCTATATGGCTATACATGAGAAACCAGAGCAGAACCTTAATTTCCAACTGGTGTCATTTTCTGTAGGTCTCAAATGGGCTTCTCTGCTTAGATAAGACTAATAAACCTCTTGAAATTACAAATCAAAAGCTGACTTACACTATGCAAATGAAGCGAGTTCCCACTTTGTGACAGAGAATTCATTTGTACCTCAGATTAGAGGCTCCAATCTGTATTTCTTAGTGACTAATGAATCTGGCCTCTGCAGACCAATTTCTGTTCCACTCTAGTTAATGGTTGCAGCAGTATCAGTGTGAGCATTTTCACTATTCTCCCATTAGAGAAAGAAAAAAGGCTTTAAAGCCACTTCGAAGTATCTTCCACCTGCCAGGAAGGTCGTGGTGGCTCACAATGCAGACAGAAAGAGAATATTTAAATGGATTAGGCTAATTAATCTTGCTCTGACAAGAGCCTTGACCAAGTTTTCCCATTCGTTTGTTTGCACAATACAGTACACCAGACTGACATCTTTCTGTTTGTATGTGTTCTGTTTCCATTTCCAATGCTTTTAAATTGATCAAACAAATTATATATGTGCTTAATGACACATTAGGAGTAGGTAAATGGGACAGAGTAAACAGGGTGTTAAAGCAGTGGCTGCTGTACTCGATGCATAGCACTCTCAGTGTACAGCAATGTTATGCATTAATGTAAAAGCCTGCCTTCAATTGATTATCTGATTACTCTGATTGGATTATTTTGTAAAATAATGTAATCATGTCACTGAATTATTCTTCTTTATTTATTACTACCTTATATGCAGCTCAGTGAACCTTAAAGCATGATTATAGAGTTGTTATAAGTAAAACTTTTAAAAATAGCAGATTTTATTCAGCTTTACAGTTTTGCCTTCACTGATAACAGGAACGGTCAGTGGACATTTTGTTTGCTCTATTGATTTCCTTTTCTGAGTGACCTTTGTGCAGGAATGGGAGTTGGTATTCCCTTTAAGTATCTATGAACAGGTACAGGAAGAGGAGGGGGAGTCAGAGTGGCCAAAACTAATTTTGAAGCACTGAGTCAGCTTCATTTCATGCCTCCTGTAATAAAGAAGGTCTGTTTGTCATAGACAAGTAGTTTATAGTGCTATGGCTGTGCTAGTGGGGCTCAGTTTCCAGAGGACTATTATTGTCATTTTAGCCTAAACTGCGGAGTGCTAATTTTGGCGTTAGTGTTTTTAAATAGAAGTTACAGATTTTGACATTAAGATGAAAGCTTCAGGCAAGACTTCTGGCATTTATTTTTATGTTTTTCAGCACAATAATAATACCATACTTATATCTGATACAAAACAAGTCAAATTTGCATGTTTACTGCTTAGAGACCACACAATGCTAGTGACTAGCTGCGCTTCTACTCATGCTAATCCAACAAGCGGATGGAAAATATTTTAATGTTGAAAATAGTGTTCTTGTGCCATTAAATCACAGTAAATCATCCTGACAGTTAAGTATTATAATTGTCGCCGTATAACATTGGGAATTTTCCCCAGCTGCCTAGGGCTTCAGACTTAATGATAGTTTTCTAATGAATGCAGGCAGTTGTGGATACGGTGGACAACTTGCTCAGGCCTGAAGCTCTGGAGTCCTGGAAGGACATGAATTCTTCAGAACAAGCCCACGCAGCCACAATGTTACTTGATACATTAGAAGAAGGAGCTTTTGTCTTGGCTGATAACCTTGTAGAACCAAGTAGAGTCTCAATGCCCACAGAAAATATTGGTAAGTAAACTTCTTTTCATGCATAAATTAAAGTTTGTGTAAATTGCTTTACAAAAAGAGGAAAAAGTACTCCAGGTAGCGACATATTTCTGAAGGCTGAGCTGTGCAATGTTTGATGGAAAGGTGAGTGCTTCAAAGCAGGGAAAACACTCTTTTCTTGTTTGGTTCTTTGAAATTAGCCTTCTTCTTTATTGTCATTAGTACATTATAAAATGGAAAGTAGTTGATGTTGCAAGGTTGATTTATCACTGAAAAATCATTAGCAGAATGCGTGGATGTGAAGAGTGCTTAAAAAGCAGAATATAGATTTTTTTGAGGGAGCTGCTTTCTGTAGAGCTGCAGAAAATACGCTTCTGTTAAATATAAACTGTTCCTAATGAATTTAAATTACTTTTTTTTGCAATGTACTATGCCAGTTAAATATATTAGGCACTCAGCACAGGCCAAATGTTTATATTAAACATGACTGCCTTCAGGTAAAAATGTGTTCAGTGAACTACATCTCCCATAATGCAGAATAGCTATGCTCCAGAGACTGCAAAATAGCTGGAGATAGTTGGAGCATAATTTAGAATTTAAGTGGTGACAGGGAAATGAAGGGGTTTGGTATTAGAGATGTGCAAATATTGTTGTGCAGGATGTGTTAAAGCAAAAATCATTGCTCTGCATAAAATTAAAATTCCTTATTACAGAGATTAATATAGTCTCAGGGAGGTACAAGGAACCTGAAAGTCTGCTAATATGCAGAGTACCAAGATAGAGACTTGGAATAGACTGCAGAAATGAGACTTTTCACGTTTCAGTGTCTGCATATTTGTAGCTGTAAAAGATTCTGCCTAGTTTTTAATTGAGTGGGAAGATACTGGGAAAGGATGGGGAAAAGTCTCAGCCTGTTTTTAAAGGAACTGCACCAGTTGTTTTGAAGGAATGTGGGTAGAATCACAGATATTCCTTTGGATTTACACAAGCAGTTCCATGGAGATGAATAGACCTGAATATTTCTTCTTGTGATAAGCTGTCTTCATGTCATAGTAACACTTCCCAGATGCCATGCAAGACTGAATTCCTAGTACACATATGTATGTATGACTTGGAGAAGGAGAAGGGATTTCCCAATTTCATACTTTTTGTCATTCTGTAGTTCAGAGTTGTAGCTAGACTGGTTTAATATCACACAGGTTTTATCTACCAGTTGTCCACTCTCACCTATATGATTTTATCTATCCAAGGAAATCCAGCATTCAGTGGTAATCCCATGAAAATCTCCCAATATGCAATGTAATACTGAAGTACAGCTGAGTGGCATCTTATTTTTCAATTTAAATGCTTATTACCAGAACTAATGAAATGGTTTCCTATAAATATACAGAATTAGATGTAGAAAAAAATTAGAAATAATTTTTAGCTATGTATACTGATTTAGCTAAATATGTGGCATGGGTATACTTAGGTATTCTTTGCTGACTGTTTAAAAAACTCTTTATATCTAAATCAATACTTAAAGTTCTAAATTTGTCAGCAGAGGATTCTGCATAGACATTAAGATCCTCAAAACTAACATTTTTTTCTAACGTGTGTAGTATCTTTAAGTATATTTAAAAACATCTTTAAGGATGTTTAGTGGGCACAAATTTGAAGAATGTTTGATATCATGTTATCACTACAAGAGTGCTGTCATTTTAGCAGTGTGCATTAGATTTAGTTAAAGAAGCTAAGTCTGGGTGATTGAAGCATGCAGTGCAAATCTGCCTTACAGACAGCCATGTGAGAAAACTAAATAAAGACTGGGGGGAAAAATTGTCGTCTGGCATATTGTAATCTGGCCAAGAGACTTTCTCTGCATTCTCCTTTTTTAACAGTTTTTTTTTCCCCTCTGGTCTGTTTAGTTTTGGATGTTGCAGTGCTTTCTACTGAGGGCCAAGTGCAGGACTTGCGATTTCCTCAGGCTGGTAAAGGAGGCAACTGGATTCAGCTCTCTGCACGAACCATGAAACAGAACAGCAGGAACGGTGAGCCCTGGGCACGGAACAGTACAACTCCATTAACTTCTATAAAACTGACCTTACCTAGTTAAAACATCAAAACAGAAACACCACTAAGCTGCTCAGTGGCTTTTTTTTTTTTATGATCATGGGTACCTGGTCATTTTTCTTCAAGTCCGTGGCCTGTAAATACCTCTCAGTTTACTGATGCTTAATTATCATTAGAGTACAGCTCGCTGTACACCTCTGTGGAGTGATGATGGGCTTTTTTTTTCTTTTGTAGGATTAGCCAAACTGGTTTTCATTATTTACAAAAGTTTGGGTCGTTTCCTCAGTACTGAAAATGCAACCATAAAGTTAGGCAGTGACTTGGCGGGGCAGAACAGCACGATCGCCGTCAACTCCCACGTCATCGCCGCCTCCATCAACAAGGAGTCGAGCCGGGTGTACCTGACTGATCCCGTGCATTTCACACTGGAGCACATTGATGTGAGTTATGCTAATGAGTCAATGGGAAGGTCACAAAATCAGCAAGAGAGAAAGGCAATGCAGAAAAACAACCTTTTCTCCATTTGAATTTTAAATGTTGGACTAGGTCAGAGATGCAAGTTAAGTCTATGAACATAAAATTAAATGAGCCTGGTTCAGTGATTATTAGAACTTAAGTGTATTCTTAATGAAAGCTAATTCAGTAATCAACATGAAAATGTAAATGACTCATTTGTTTCTAACTGAAAATTAACTCTTACCTTAGTAGAAGGGTAGAAAATAACTGTTAAGATTCTTGATGGTTTGATGTAGTAAGTTTTATTGACTCTTTAACGTTTTACATTAATTTTGGAACAAGTTACGAAAGCTTATACAAATTATTCAAATTGCATTTATTCACGAAAGAAGAAAGTATGGTATCTTGATCTGTTATACTTTCAATTTATGTATACTTTCTTCATGGTATTTCATTTAATGTGTTTCTTTGCTCTTAAGTATGTAGCTTTCTCTTTTCATGTCTTACATGGGGAAAATAAACCATTGCTATTGTGATAGAGAAAATATGGTTAGATTTTTCCTCTCATTTTGCCTGTTTTTATAAATCTCCTTGGATTTTTTTTTTCATCAAAATAGATAGGCATTGGGGAGTGAATATTTTTTGATAACTATTCATATGACTTTGGCCTGACCAAAGGTGAGAACCAAAGGAAAAAGATCCTATTTTCAAATTGTGAATTACAGGGAAAAAAATTCACTATAGCTATAATGTACCATCCATGCATAAAAATTGAAATTGTTTAAAATTGGGTCTACAGTAATTGAGACTACACTTCAGAGTGCTTCAGACTATAAAGTCCCCTATAAACTAGATGTCTTCCTTGTGCAACATAGTCCACAGTTTTGCTGATGAAAACTTTATTGTCCAAAACGTGCAAAGTATAATCTAAATTACCTTTTATACATATTAAACAATTGTTATTGCCATCTTAATGTGTAAAAACCTCATTTTATGTTATCCTTTTATCTCCCAGCCTGACAATTATTTCAATGCAAATTGTTCCTTCTGGAACTACTCAGAGAGGACTATGATGGGATACTGGTCTACTCAAGGCTGCAAACTGGTTGACACAAATAAAACTCATACAACATGTGCTTGCAGTCACCTCACCAACTTTGCAATTCTTATGGCTCGTCGGGAAATTGTGGTAGGTATCCATGTTTCCAGCCATCAACAGGGAACAAACTTAAAAGACTTAGCTTTACATTTTTAGCAGGATCCAAAATTGTTGAAGTTTCTTTAGTATTTATAGCTCCTACCCACTCTTTCCAAAGTTGCTTTCTGTAGCATTTTTCTTCCTCACCCATAAAGTTGCAAGCAAAATAAAAGGGAAGAGAAAACAAGGAAGAAGAAGAATTTTCTACAAGCCATATTTTAATGTTACTGACCAACCTTACAACCATTTGATAGACTCTCCCTCAGTACAGATGGAGAGGCTCTGTTGAGACAGCTGTGCAGACTGTTTCCTGGAAGCCCAAGTGCCAGCTCTCCTTGGTGAGAAAGGTGAAAGGGCTTCCATAGTGGTTGTTTAAACACCTCTTTGTAGTCAGAAATTTTGTTTTCTATTTAAAGCACTTCCTGCATGTCAGAGGCCCAAGAGCATGCAATATTTGCAGGGAAGTGGGACTTCTCATTAAGCCATTGTATTTGAAAAGGTCACTGCAAAGAACTGAAGCAAGGAATCTCCTTTAGCTAAACATGAGATTGAAACCAGAATTACATGGGCAGCGTATTCTGCATTTTGTCCTGGTCATTGTGAAAGCACTGCTTTCTTGTCTGCTGTGGAGTTGCAGGTCTGTAGGAAGTCCCAGGGAAAGCTCTCCCTTCTCTCTCCTTTATCAGACCCTAGTGGTCCCTTAAAAATGTTATGGTTCTCTGTTCATATTTCCAACGAGTCTGCAGTGAGCCATAGGAAAAGTAAAAATGCTATCTGATCTGAATAAAATAGTCACATTTTTCTCTCAGACCTGCTCCTCTTCTGTTGACCCTGATCTTGCTCTTCTGGGAAGCTGACCTGAGACTGAGAAATTACTGAGTACATTTTGCTCATCTCATGTAATGAAGAAGTAGCTTTTTCTGGATACCTGTGAAAATAAGTTTTTGTTTATACTCATAAAGAGTCATATTAATTTTCTCCATTCTTGGTTATTTCTAGTACAAAGATGGAGTGCACGAATTGCTCCTCACTGTCATCACCTGGGTGGGAATTGTCATCTCTCTTGTTTGCCTGGCCATCTGCATCTTCACATTCTGTTTTTTCCGTGGCCTGCAAAGTGATCGTAACACTATTCACAAGAACCTTTGTATCAACCTATTCATTGCTGAGTTCATTTTCCTAATAGGCATCGATAAGACAGAGTACAAGGTAAGTTTTCTCTCTGTGTACTGGTCTTGTTCTCTGAAATAACTGTTTGAAACCGATTTGAATTAAAACATGACAACACTGACAAGTTTTTAGCACTCTAACACAGCAAGGCTGAAATAAAAGCTCAGCATGAAAATAAGATCGATATATTCATACATAGTATTTGCATCCATCCAAAATATGCTTTTTATTTTCAGTTGAGAAACACTGACTATTAACGAAGCAGGTGGTTAGACTTTTGAAAGAAGAGATGAAATTGAATGTTGAGTATTAGGAACATGAATATGTTTTCTATATATATTCAAATGTCTTAACAGGTATTGACTACATTTTTATATATATTAGTACAAAGCTATTTCTGTACGTATACACATTTTTTACACTTCATATTCAAGCAGGTATTTTGATAGTATTGGTAAAATTAATTCATGATTCATTGGGTTGAAACTAATAATCTAGCATAGCTTCATCCAGAATTTGGCCAATGGGGACAGAATTCAGACCAATTTCTGTTACAACAGTAGAAATTTCCATATTACAGCAGACAAAACTTGTGGGGCAGACACTTCATAATTTTTAAGATACATCACATTATGCATAGAGAACTAACTGTTCATGTCTAGGATTATCTAAACTGTAAGTCCTAAAACTGTATCAGTTTCAAAATTAAAAAGTTGCCAATAAAATTAAGAAGTCCACTCCAAACTTGATGACTGGGAGATGGTGCAATTTCCATATCTTCATTCATATTGTTCAGTTAATTGACTTTCTGTAGCTACTGAGCACATATTAGTGTTTTCAAATTTTCAGAGTATGTTTTGATGTAGGGAAGGTGCTCCTGAATTTGTGAAAGGTTTCTAAAAAAACTATCTGCAGTTCTATTGCACACTGTTCAATTGGAGAGGCAATGATGTGAAGGTTTTGTGGTTTACATTTCCATCTCTCTCTTTCTTTGCAGATTGCATGTCCAGTTTTTGCAGGTCTCTTACACTTTTTCTTCCTGGCAGCCTTTGCCTGGATGTGTCTAGAAGGAGTGCAGCTTTATCTAATGTTAGTAGAAGTATTTGAAAGTGAATATTCTAGAAAGAAGTACTATTATGTTGCTGGCTACCTCTTCCCTGCTACAGTAGTTGGTGTCTCAGCAGCTATTGACTATAAGAGCTACGGAACAGAGAAAGCGTAAGTAATTGCAAGTGACCTGAGTGTTTTTCAAGTGAATAATTTTTTAAAGCCTATTAGCTGTCAGAGGGTCCCTGACAGACTAAAATACCATCTAAAAGCTTTATTGGTAAGAGAATGGCGATGCTGTGCACAAATTACAATCAAGTCTTTTGTAATTCTCTAGGTTCAGGGGATTTGTACTCTAGAGAGACCAATTCTAAATTATGGTCTTTCTTTTAACACAAAAGATTGACCTGAAACAAATTGAAAAAGTAAATAACTTTTTGTACTCAGATGTATATTAAGCAAAATTTCTCAACTTAAAGTATCTGACAAGCTTAACCACCCAGTTTTAAGCTAATGCTTCATTAGATCTCTTTGTTCAGCTGTCCCTCTAGCTAGCTCTCATCCTGAAGTATGACAGTACAATATTCCAGCCTATATGTTTTATTTTGATAATATTTTATCAGGCAAGTAGAGTGGGATTAAAATTAGTGACTGCCAGTTATTTACAAAAATACAGATGTATATAGGAAGTGACAGAAGGTAGACAGGAAACATTTCTGAGGATTTGCGTTGCTGGAGGCATGAATTTGCCTTTCAGTAGTGTTTATTTTGTCCTTTGATGAAATTAGTTACAGAAGGGGAAGATATTGTTGACTACAAGAAAGCTGCTTGATGTTGCTACTGATGAAAGACAAATAAGAGAATTCAGCAGGGAACTGGGCTGCATGAAAAAGGAATTGCTAAGTGAAGTTGGCCCTAATAGGTTTATACGTCATTTAGTCTGGTATCTTATGTATTCCTTCTCTACAGTTCAACTCCCAGATGGGGCATTTTATTTATACCATATTATTATTCAGCAAAACATGACATCTGAGCATTTTCTGTCTCATATTCCTCAGGCGTGAGCACTTAACATCTGATATAAAGTTAAAAGCAGACTTTGAAGATCATATGGGAAGCCTGCAAAAATTATTTACTGATGTTAGTTTCATTAGTCCATGATAGCACCTGTCACCAAACCTTTTGACTGAAAGGAGAGCTTGCTTTGGTTTTGTTTCCCCTTATGTTAGTTATTCCTGATGGTGTGGTTTCAAGTTCAGTCGTGTTACACAGATTTCATTAGAAGAGGTTCAGGTTAGGTGTTGTCCATGGAATAAGTGGTACTGTGCAATGTTCATCATTGTTTACTGGCAAAGTGTTACCTTAAGAAGTATTTTTGCACTTTTCATTTTTTGGACTGAGGTGCTAATGCAGCTTTTCACTTTTCATTCTCTTTCTTCCATAATAGTTGCTGGCTACACGTAGATAACTACTTTATCTGGAGTTTCATTGGACCTGTTACTTTTATTATTCTGGTAAGAACTTTGTTTTTTTTCCTTTCTTTTTAGGTTGCCTCACAGCAGATTAAAAATATTTAAAATTTCATTCCATGCCATCCTTATTAACAAGACATTCCATTAAAATGTTTTACATTGCAAACAATTTGTAATGTGACTAATGGTTATATAAATATGTAGAAATCTTTAAAGAGTGCTGACCGAATTATTGATTGTCAAAGCTGTGGTGGCACTTCAGCATGGCCATTTTTTCCTAATGGCTTGAATTCTGAAGGTCGTATTGACATGTGTAGTCATATGAAGGATCAATGAAATACTAAACACAGGGGTTTTTAAAAGGAACCATTCTTACTGCTTTCAAGTGAGTCACTATGGTACATACTCTAGAATTTAACTGCTAAATATCCAACATATTTATCTCAAAAGGGTATTCTAATGCATTGGGTAATTAAATTTTTTGTTCCATTACACTTACACGGTATTTGTATGTGTATTTGCATGTGCACATTTGTCCATGCCTACTTATGTGTGTATTTGTGTTACATGTAGTGCCTGTCAGACACAGACATTCCTCTGGTTTAGAATAAATGATTATATTTACAATTATTTATAGATATAAGTAATTATGTTGTTATGTAATCAGTAGAATTACTGTATCTTTAAAGCCTGGCTTTACTTGGAAAATACTGTAAAAGCTGGTTGGGGACATAGCCTATGTACATAGAGGCCTTTTCTCATAATTGCTGATAGTTTGGAGGGATGAATTAATTAGTTTTCATGCTTTTGAAATCTTAAATAGTTGCATGTTTTCCTGCCCATCCACAGTAGCAGAGTTATGAAATGTTAGCAGAATTTCAGTTCACTTGAATTTCCAAATTCAGGAATTATATTTTTCCATATTCAGAAATATTATTTTTTCAGTGTGAAGCACATGTGTCAGGCATAATTTTGAAATTTCTTTGAGTTTTACAGATCTGTGTGCCAGACATATTATTTCAGCACTTTCTGTACTTACAGTACAAACTGATACTTTGATTATGGAAATTTCTACTAAAAATGCTCCTGGCCAATGTTTTGGTTTGCATTTAACTCTGTTTATATCAAAAACTATTTGAATCCTTGGGCGATCACTTAAGAAAGATAGTTGTGCAATGTAGAGGTTGTTAGAGTTCATTGGCATGTTTTCAAAGACATGGGTGTAGATGCCAAAATTTATTTGTGTATGACTTGAATTAGAAAAATTATAGTGTTTGTAAGATTTAAGTGTAGACTATAATAATTGTACAGAGTTTATTCTAAATACATTTAAATTAAATCATGTCTCAGAATGATGGGGATTTTTTAAAAATTAAACCTACAATTGCAATTGAAAGTCAGTCTTTCTATGTTCAATATGACAGACAATATTTTTCAACATGAAGTTGTTTCTTGCAGTTGTAATTATTCTGGAAATTGTTCTGCGTTTCATGCTACAATAGTTAAGTGACCCCAAGTGTGGTTGCGAGGTGATAATTTTGCAGGTTTTTTTGTGGCTCCTTCCTTATTTTATTGTTACTGGGGGTATTTTGCTAAGTCACCTATATTTCTCTCCCTTCCTCTAAAATAGCATTTCACATGTGAAGCCTTGGGCTTTGCTGACGGCTTTTTCACTTCCTCATAACCAGGTCAGAGTGAGAATAGAGGTGAAGGACATTTAATCATATTGACCATGTACAGACATAGTTCACTATTATTTACTGGCCGTGACATTATTATCCTCCAGCAAATCATTTAGACTGAGACGCAAAAGGCTTTTGGGAGCAGTATTCCCAACTTGAAAAATACGAAACAGCAGGTAGCAATCACAGCACAGTTCCTAGGAGTAATTCTTCTCTAGCAATTGCTTTGCCCTCTAATCGTCCCAGCTGAGAAAGCAAGGGAAACCAGAGGAAGAAGTGTGAGAGGTGTAGCAGCTGAAAAATAATATGTCATGTGCACTGTAACCAAAGAGCTCTATTTGTAGTGTAGCTTACTTAGTGTCAGTAGCATGTGAGAATGTCGCCTTGGTAAGCTTTTCAACATGTTGCTCAAATCACTTCTGTGTTTCTCAGTTTAATAGTTCTGCACATAAACTGTTTTTTTGACAGTATTGTCCTCTGTTAATTTACAGTTTTCTTTCTCTGAACTTCTAAGCATTTTTACTTGTGTCTGTGCCCATTTTTGCACAGAATGAGAATGGGAAGTATGAGGGGGAAGCATGAAGCTGCTCAGTACATCTTCTGAGGAACTTTTAACTTCACTATTTCTATAGCCTGTCATGCCTTTGGGCACCAGGGTTATTATATCTATGAGAAAAGAGCATGTAAGTAATGAGCGGTGGGAAACCATTAGTATGCCTGAAATGGTTTAATGAAAGCTTGGATCATGATACGTCAGGAGCTGTTCTTATCATTTGGACAGCTCCATCTGCATCTTTAATAATTAATTCAGTTCAGTAAGAGTTCAGTGTGCACACTCATTTAGAAGCCTTCAGAGAGCACCTCTCTCGCTGCCAGTCCCAGGGAGAAATAGGCTTCTGCATGGCTAAGAGCAAAGATCTGGAGATACAAGAGCAGTTTTAGAGCTGCATTTGCCAGGTAACAAAAGCTCCGGGGAGTTCAAAAAGGGTCAGAACATGTGCAGTTCAGCTAGGTTACTTCAGAGTGGTGTTTCTGTTCTTCTGTCTTATCGTATCCATGTCAGCACTGCAGGCTGTGTGGAATGAATTTTAAGCTGCTAAGCTCAAGGCGGACGTGATTCCATTGAGCAGGTTCATGGCTATAAAACAAACAGTGCACTTCTGTAATCCGTGGTCAGAAAAGCCTGAGCACTTTGACTGCTGTGAAGATCTGTATTCATTCATGTCCAAGGAATGGGTGGAGTTGGTTTAATTTAGCCCGAACTGTTGCACTTTGCTTCTCCCAGCTTGCAGGCAGAGCCCATGCATTAGTCTACCAAGGGTTGTCTAAGCAAAAATTACTAAGATGCCCCATTAATATTAACTAAGATGCCCCATTTCATTAACACAGAATGTGTTAAATATTCTCACCCAGACTGAAGTATTGCTTATCTGAGTCAGTAGATGGACAGATGTAAACATAACTTAGCTCCACAAGTGAAAATGGACTGTATTTGTAAGCTTATTTTTTATAAATAATATGTGTTTATCTTTTTATAGTAGACATTTGATAAATGGTATTTTTCTATTAGTCACAGGGGAAATTTATCATAGTTTTTGCAAAATCTAACTTTATTTTGCTACAAATTCATTGAATCTGCTAATTAGCTAATTCTAATTGATTAGTATTCTGTGCAGGTTATCGCACCCATTTTTTTAAAAATTAATTTGAGTTGAACACATTCCCCCTCTCAAGATTCCATAGGTTTCAGGGTCTAGAAAGACAAATTTTCTACTTATATCTTCTTTCATGTCGAGTTCCTTCTGATTTCCAAATGAGAAATGGCTATATGTGTGTTGCCTGTGAAAGAAGCATGATCTCCCAGGGTGCTTCATTTAATTATTACCATAAAAACTGTTTATATTTTATATTTTAATGTAGTAAGTTGTTATTTTTATATATATCAATTGTCTTTCACTTTGTTCTATCACATTACACTTAGCATATTAAGAGCTGACAAGGAACTAGTATATTAGAAGATACTCTATTTTTTTTTTTTTTTTACTTTACACAAAATTTTAAAATCAGGTTATAGATTAAACTAGTTTTCTATCCAGTATACCGTCTCTTCTGGTAGACAGTAAGTTTTAGAAACTAGATCAGAATCAAGTATAAGCATAAATTAAATATTGTCCATTCAAATTTTTGCTTATGATTACCAGCTAATGTTTTAAAAGATCTCATAATAGCTCCACCTTCTGTAGCTGTGTGTTCTGTCGCTCTTTGGTATCACAGTAGAATCATCAAATCCAAACCTGATGCCTGACCAGACTTTTAATTTCTTATTTTTAGCTTTCGAAAGAGTGTTGGTCTGATTTGCAGACATGCAGCATGAAAGAGGTTTTACAGACATGATTAAGGGTATAATTTTAGGACTGTTTGAGATGTATATATTGTGCATCTCTGCGTGTGTTAGCACAATGTATTTGTATTTTTTATTGGCTTTGAAGAAGAAGGGTACTGTTCAGCTGCAGATTTTGGCTCATCTGGGGTGGATGCAGCCCAGATGTCAGGATGAGGTCCAGCCAGTCACTGACCATTTTATGTTACATGAAGTGATGAGAACACCACCGCTGTCAGAGGCCCATTTTTTTTCCTAGAAAGTTGCTCTCAAAAGTCTCTCTTGCTGTTCATTTGGGCCTTTGTATGACCTCAGAGTACTGCATGCCTGTGGTGAATATTTTCTTAAAGAAAGGTGTCCTACTCAGACCATCTGTCAAGCTTGGGAAACATCTACAAATTCATTTGCTTAGATCAGTAAGAGTTCAATCCTCACAGAAACAATTCGGGTTGAAAGGAGCTCCAGGAGATCTGTGGTCAAGCCTTCTCAGAATAGCCTCAGCTCTGGGCCAGACCATGTTGCTTAGAGCTGAAAAAACTTTGCTTGCACAAATGAATACAAAGCCCTAACTGTGTTTTCTTCTCCCCCCTCTACATATTTCTCACCAAGAAAATTAATTCAGCTATTCCTTATAAAAGCAATTATTTTCCAGCAAGTTCCCTTCCCTCACTGCTTAGTGTATTCATGAGAAAAAAGAAAAAAAAAAACGCAGGATGCCCAAAAGTAACTCATGATTTCCTCCAAAACAATCAATTTCTAGATGAAAAACAATTAGGGAGCCAAAAGCAAATCTATAGAAAAGTTTGGTTACAGTATCTCTAAGCAAGCAAAACAGGGTTTTTTATAATGATGTAAAAATGATGCCAGCATGTTTGAACAAGTGGCAAACCATGGTCTTTTGACTGCTGAAACTGAAAACTATGTAACATTTCACAGTGATGGAGAAACAAGTATCATATGCTCTGTTGTCATAGTTACTTTGTCTTCAAAGTACAGTATTTTTCCTTTTTTCTTGGAAGGACTTTTTCAGCTGCTGTGATATGGCATTATTATTTCTGTGGGCTGATTTTGTGGGTCTGTACATAAATTACAATTAAAATGTCACTTAAGAAGCTGCTTTGTGCAGTTTCTCCCTGGTGCAGCAAGGACATATACCCAGTCAGAGCTGAGTACCTACATAAAACCTGTTTAATGCAATGGAGCTTGGCTAAATCTGGGGTAAGGCCATGTCTGCTCACGTCACCGAGGAACCTCAGTGTGTAAATACAAGTTTTGATTTGTCATGTGGCAAACCAGCACTTCAGTTGTACAAAGAATCAGAGGATTAAACCCTATTGTTTCATAAGGCAGTCATTTATGAGCTAAGCCATATCTATGAGTTTTTGATCCAAGAATGATGATGTCAGTATAATACAGGATACTCCAGGGTAGCTACTTAGGCAAGGATTAGCTTCCAGCTGTGCTGTAAATACTGCTCTGAACTGGATTGTGCCCTTCCAGATGCATAGGTTGCAGCCAAAGTTGATGTACATGTTAGGATTGACACAGGGCATGTGTCTTAGCTCTTAATCTGTTTGTTTTCACAAAAAGCAAATTGAGGTTGCATTTTTTCAGGCAGGCTGAAGAAGTTCATGTGATGTCAGCTACTAAACTGTGCAAGAAACTTTTTCAAATAGAGAAAAATGAAATCTGTGTGCAAAGACATGGAACTAAGGGTCAGGTCTGTTGCAGAGCCCTTGTCCTGTCTGATGAAAAGGCCAGGGAGAGAAGCAACTTGTTTTCTCATCCAATGAAGTTACACCGTACAGTGAAAATGTAGATAAGAGGAAGAGATCACAATGATGTAATGAAATGGTTTTTCTCATGTGGTTAGTAATTTCCTGTAAGAATCATAAAAGATAATCACCAAGATCATGAATTATTGACATTTCTATTAGATTTTTCAGCAATGGAAATATGCATAACCTACACCATGTACATACATCAGCTTTAAGGTTAAGTGTTTTCAGCCAGTTCTTGAAACACAAACAAAAATCAATCTTAAAAGCTTCTTTTTGTTATTTGTGTCACAAACACCTTTTTCTATTAATCTCAACATACAATTGTAAAAATTTTGTACTTTGCATGGTAAGATCAAAAGTTACCAGACACTTTTCTGGTGTTGACAACTGCCTTATAGTTCATGCCATCCATCCTGATTTTGAGACAGCAGCAGGAGCAATAACATGATTGTCTGTAGAAGTAGGAATTATTTCTGTAATACATGTTCTTATTAACAGACTCTGATCAGAGCCTTCAAAATATTCATCTTTTCACAATTAAGACCAGCTCTTTATTAGGATTTCAGTAACATTTCTGACCATTGAGGCATGATTAGTATGACCAGTGTTACAAAAATAGTGAAGATTTTGAAGCTGTCTCAAACCAAAGGCTTCCCAAATTGAGAGACTGGGTATAATCATGCTCCATCAGGAACCGCTTACATATATATATATATATATGGAAGATTATAAGACTGGGGTTCTCTATCTAATGTATGTGTTATAAGGATGTCCAAGCATATTCTTCCATCTTCTCTTAACTTTTGGTCCTGACACTTTGTGTGCACCATTGTAGTAGCAGACAAGGATGTGTCTTCTTGCTGAAAGGACATGGCTCTTACTGGTTTCAAAGATACAATTTTGTCCAACTTTTCTATGCAATATAAGACAGCACAAACTAATTACTGAAATTAATTGGATACCCTTTTTTAGCTTGTGTTCTGCAGGCATCCTTGTATTTGGCTCGCCTGTGCTTTTCACAGGCTTTGAAATCGATAGGAGAAAGGCACCCAGTAACTTTGATATCTGTGATTCTGTTTCACAATAAGAGAATGATAAAAAATTTCCTTCAGTATCTTCCCTGGTGTTACCTGTATGAATGACACAACAAGAATAAGATGCCACAGTCCTTCAAGTGCACACACAGTCTCGCTTCGACAGAATTCAGACTACAAAGGGAAAGAGGGCAGCAGGAGGGTGCACCACCAGCATATGTCTATGGCACTGTTAAGTTTGATGCATTTGCTACATCTTTGTGTTTCTTTTTCTTCTTTTCCTCTTTTTTTCTTTTTTACCAGTTACATTTAAGGTTTTTTCAAGACCCCAGTAGGATTGTGAGAACAGAAAGGAATAAAAAAAAAAAATAAAGGAGAAACCAGCAAAGGTGAAAAGCATTTAAAAATCAGGATGGGGTGATAAAAAGACAGCTAGTATAGCCCAGTAAAGCAGTAACAATTGTCCTCAGAGAGTGAGGTGGGGAAGAGGGCGGAGGGGTGGCAGGTAAAGGTGAGCAGGAGATGAGCAAAACATGCTGGAGGACAGAGCTGAGCTGACAATGGCAAGTGTTGGACATGAGTTAAATACGGTGGTTCATGATGATGTGGTGCATTTGGGAAATTAGGAGAAACAAGGACTTCTAATATTTTTATCGTCTCATTCTTATTTGCAATCACAGTTTGCAGACCAGCTGATATAGTTACCAATTTTCACTGCTTGGAAATAAACTACAGGGTTTTTGTTTAGCCTGTAACATCATCATTATTCAACCTATTACTTGAAGTAGTTTAATTTCATTCTTATCTGTTTTGACAGCTGAATCTTATCTTCCTGGTGATCACATTGTGCAAAATGGTGAAGCACTCAAACACTTTGAAACCAGACTCTAGCAGGTTGGAAAACATTAAGTAAGTGCTTTGTGTTCAAGTATGAGAACTATGATTATTTTCTGATTGCTGAACTGATTGAAAGCTACTCTCCATTAGGAGCACATGCCATTGTCTCCCAGCAACTGCAGATGTCAATTAGAAGCAAACAGAGCCAATCCTGCTTTCGTCACTTTGTTGCTGTAATGTCACAAACGCCGGTCAAAATTAGATAATTTCAGCCTGGAACTAGTGCCAAGAAACTGTTTCATGGAAATGCCAGAGCACTGTAGTAATTTCGTTTGCATTTAAAATGCAGTTCAAAAATGATGTTCCTGTTTGCATGGCTGATATGATTATATTAAGTTTGTTTTGTTAAATGACTTTTTGATTTAGGGATTCTGAGCAGTTTCTACTTGTAATCCTGTTCTCCCAAGAGAATTGACTCTATTATTATTGTTAACTTGAAGATTATCTGCTGTTTTCGTGCTAATTTAACAAATGTTTACTTTATCATGGTGTTCTACTGTAGTATCCCTTTTGCAGACTAATATAGGTTTTTGATAACTAACAAGGCTTTGGTAGCTTTCACTTCTTTAGATAGCTTTTTACTGTATTCTGTTTAGCCTTACGTTGTATTCAAGTTTTTTGTTACCAACGCTGAAGGGATGGTGCCACTTTCTAACACTGAGGGTTGGATGTGAAAGGGTCTTATAGATCTGCTTTGAAGGTTGGAAATGGCAAAGGGAGACTTTGTAAGGATAACATTGTGAACTAGATGTTCTAGATAGGTCAGTATCAGCTTCATTGCATGTTGCATGAGGAGAGAGAGAGAGCTAATCTTTAGCATCTCTCTCTTTTCTTCCTTTTCCTCTTTCTGTCTTCTCATCCACACCAGTAATTACCGTGTTTGTGATGGCTACTATAATACGGACTTACCTGGGTAAGATAGAACCCTACATTAACAAACTTCTAGCATGAATTTTAACTTTACAAACTCGGTCATATTGTGGATTTCCCTTAATTTTAATTAACTATTTTTGAGATACCTGATTTGCTAAAGACTTTTAAACTATTACATGCCTTTATACTTTTAAATTGCTTGCCTCTGCATTTTGAATTTCCTAATTTTGACTAATTTTTATAGACAATTAAAAATGCTCTTATTAATTTCTGTTTAAATTCTGTCTAATAATTTTGTTTCTCTTTTCTGCTTATAATGCTTTCTAGCTATGAAGATAATAAGCCATTTATCAAGTAAGATCATTAGTTAGATGTGGAATTCACTGACTAAATTCCCTTTCCCTTTCATTCTGTGCTGTTCACTACTTCCTTTTCCTTAACCTATTCATGATGGAATCTTTTTTAGATTGTTCTGTAAAGCAATATCCATATTTTTGTCGCATTTCAGCAGGGTTTCTTCATGCGGAAGTTACATCCTCTAGCTTCAGTTTAGCCGAGTTTATCGAAGCATTAATGATTTGGGCTCTAGGCTTTTAATCTGCTGTTTAACCTTTGTGCATTTGTGTTACATTATTTGGTGTCATATGGCAGCACCACTGTTTAAAATCTATGGTGTGATTAGTGGCTAAGCCAGATTTATCAATCTCTTCTCTAAAAGCAGATAAAGCAATGGGGTAGCTGAGGCTTGTGCTATACTTCTGCATATCAAAATACGCATTTCAAAATAGTTTTGACATCTTGTGCTGTTTTTGAGAAAGACAAAGGTTATATCTACTCTTGCTGTTTTTATTGGAGTCTAAGAGTACTGAATGGAATTGTTCTTTCTTTAATAGATAAAAGGTTAAACCCAAGGAATTTTTACATTTGAATGTGAAACTAGTAAAAGTCAACTGCAGGAACTGAAATGTTAATATTGGATTTGGCGAAGTATATTCTCATAAGTAATGTTACTAAAATTAATTTTCTTTTACAGATCCTGGGTCCTGGGTGCATTTGCTCTCCTGTGTCTCCTTGGCCTAACGTGGTCATTTGGTCTGCTGTTTATAAATGAGGGGACCGTTGTGATGACATATCTCTTCACAGTATTTAATGCTTTCCAAGGAATGTTTATTTTCATCTTTCATTGTGCCCTTCAAAAGAAAGTAAGTTACCAAAACCACAGATAAATGTTCCCTAACTCCTTAGAAATGCCACACAAAATTCTTTAAAAATAGAGATAAAATTAACAATTTGAAGAACTGGAGTATTTTGAAGTAGTTTAAGGAGGGGACTAGAATTCCAGTAGAGTTCTTGCTGTATGTGCTATTGGGAGTCGTGTATCTGCTCTGTGACCCAGACAGGTTTAACATGGATGCAGCATTTCCAACTTGGGCTTGAAAAGTTTGAAGGTTTTGTGAAGAAAATGTAAAAGTTTAACACTGGTAATGTGGTATATATTAGCCTGGACTCACAGCCAAAAATTTTATGTCCACATGAAACAAGTCCTGCCTTCACTGCAGTGCTGCAAACAAAGGATCAGTTATGATATCAGCCCATATCAGCCTGGAAATGTTCTCTTTTTCTTAGATCAAGGAAGAGTACCTTTCCTGTGATCCCGTTAAGCTGCTAGATAAAGCTATGGGTGATAGGCAGGGATTGTACTATGTGTGCTCATTCATTACAAAATTAAGTGGGATGTAAAAATTAATTTTATTAGGAACTTTGACACACCTTAGAAAAAAGTAGTAATTAATGCTAGACAGCTGCTATCATTACGTTTTCTGAAGATGGGAAAGATGCCAGCATTAATACTTTTTTTCAAGTTCCCTCCCCCAGAAATCCCAGTAGCTTCACTGGAGCCTCCCTCACAAGTGGGATGAGCTAAATTAGTTCTGCTCCCTTTCACTGGATGAAAGCAGAAGGGTCCCGAATGAACTGGAAGGAGGGAGAGACAAAGAGAGACAGATGGAGACAGAGAGAAAGCTTGAAGGGGAGAGAGAAGCAAGCAGGAGAGGAGGAAAGTGAAGGGCGCAGCTCTGTGGGACCCTTTTTCGGGTTCCCTGCACCCCTTCTCTTCCCCAGAGCGTGGAAATTGCTTCCAAGGATGCTTTAGAGGTGTTTTAATGAAGAGTGCATTAAAAATGCTGAAAGCCTTTGTTAGAAGTCAGGACAAATAAAAGCAATGAGAGCTGAGAGAAAGGGTGAACATCAAAAAATCACACCCTAACAAACTTGACATGCAGTATGTCCTACATTTGGAAATACCCAATTTCTAGTATTTAGATTCCAAATATTTTTACCAATGTTAGGCTGGAGACCTAGCAATTATTAACTTCTATTATAATTAGCTCACCAGAGACATAATTAACTGATATTTATACTGGTTCATAATGGTTTCAGACCATTGGATGAAGTGTTGTTTAAATACAAAAGTCCTATGCTCATGTTCTCAACTGTACCAGCTCTAACATTACCAACATCTCTTAAATTTTGTGTAGACAATGGCATTCAGAGGTGTTTTAGGAAAAGGTCTAGTAAACAGAATTTTACCTAGATGAATGACACTCAATACTCGTTTGGAGAGTCCAAAAGCACACTTAGGGGATTGAGCCTAAGAGAAGAAGGTAGGGAAGAAAATGCAAACATTCCCAAAATGCAAATATTTTCTACGTTAGGGTTTCATATAATGTTTCCCCTTTTACTATTTTTATTGGACTTGAAAATCAGAAACAGATTCCTTTTTTATTTCTTTTTACAGCTGTGCATTGTTTCTATATAAAGTGGAGTCAGCAAAAAGCAATATTAAAATACCAGTCAAGTGTGAAAAAAACATAACCTAGAGCAATAAGATTTATACCTGAAAGAATGTTAAAGCTGCCATTTAAGATTTTTAAGTGTCACTGCCTTTGACTGGATATTGTCCTATGCTCTGTCTGCATAGCTAATGTAGTCTTTTTATTCTGTTATTATTACTTGGTCACTAAATTGAACAGAGAAATAGAATTGTGGAAGTGAAAACTATTATGTTTCCAGTTCTGACGAGATGATATTGCTGTTGCTTCCATCAGTTTCCAACAAGCTATAATTTAGAAATAATGACAGTGGAATGCGCAGTCCTGGCAGATAATGTACATTCACTGCAATACAGGCATTAGGCAAAGCCAACCCTGGAGGGTGGTATTTGGGTAAAAATACAGTTTTGATTGCTATTCTCTCTACTGTGTAGTGGCTTAGAGTATTTAATATCCATTAGTGTTCAGGAATGTATTTTCTTAGGTGTTACACCATCTAGTGATGATGTATATAGACTTATGTTTTCCAGGGTTAAAAATTATAATTCTAAGTTGTTTCATTTCTGTTTTCATTTCTTTACATGTCTTTTATGCTGATGTAGATAGGGGTTGACTGAAAATATATACTATGTACTTTTATAAAAAGCTGAATTATTGTGCCTAGCTTGAAGTTAAAGTACAAATTATTCAACTTTTCTTCATCCTTGTGATTTATAGCTTGAAGTTAAAGTACAAATTATTCAACTTTTTTTCATCCTTTGATTTATAGAAACAGCACAGTATGTATTCTTTCAGTAAAACTCCTGTAAAAAACAGCACATTACATATTTAAATCCACACAATTAATTTTTTGCATTTTCTCCTCTCCCCTTTTTACATACACATAACTTCCTGTCTTATATATTCATAGGTCAGGCAGAATTTCCAGATAAGCTGAAATCCCTCTTTTCACAGAAACTCATGAGTCTCATTGATGTAGAAGAGACACTTAAGTTCCTATGTAATCTGGTGGAAGATTTATGAGTTTAGATTTACACATCTATTCAAATTCTATCCACTGTGTCCTTTCACTGGTGCAGTCTTGCTGCCAAGATGTGCACACACTCTTCTCTTATCCAAAAATAGAGTGAAGCAGTCATGGAATATAAGAGAATTAACTGCTCTGTAAAATTATCCTGATTACTTTTTTGGCAATTGTTATCACACATAACAAAACTAAAGTTTCCAGCAGGTCACTGGAAACAAAAAGTGGATAAATGTAGCCTAAATCCTGAAGTCATTAATTAGTTTTGCAGCTCTGTCAGGGAAAAAAAAAAAACAAAAAAAAAACCCAAATCATAAACATGGGTATATTCAAATTTCTAGATTCAACAAAGACAGGAATTAAAATTTTATGTTTTGGTCCTAAAAGTGAAAGGTGCTTCTTTCCCAGCCTTTATGGTTTAAAAAGTGACACTGGAACACTGGCAAGTGGCTCCCCCAGCATAGCTGGGGCTGTGCCTGGAGGGGGGCAGTGCTGTTTGTGAGCTCTGTTGTGCTGGGCAGGTGTGGCCATCTGAAGCAGCAGCTGGATGAGCTACACAGAGTAAGAAAATTCCTTTACAGGCATTGGAAATTTTACACTCTGTATTGGAAATCATTGTGTAAGGGCTAGTACTGAGCAGTGCTCAAGCCCTTCTTGCCTGCTAGGATGGGAATACAGGCTTGCTGTACTTTCTGCACCAAAAGCTCTTATAAAAACCACATTTTTCAGCCAGCATTCAATTCAGGTAACCTTAACTATCTTAATCTACGATATGAAAATGAAATAGAAACAATTCTATAATCAAGTTGGTAATGATTATTCAGAGACATCTCTAAGAAGTGTGTGTATACCTTGGAAATAATTGGTTCAAAACTCCTGGGTAGCTGCTAATACTGCCACCGAGTAGTAAGAAATATGTGGGTTTGCTAACAGCCAGCAATTCAACAGACAAGAATTATCTATTTGCTTGAAAAGTGAGTAGTTTCAATGCAAGGTTCATGTGTTTTTACCTGCAGCTATTTAAAACTATTTCGTGTGCTAAGCAATTTCTTTCCCCCCCCAGGTACGTAAGGAATATGGGAAATGCTTCCGACATTCCTACTGCTGTGGAGGACTCCCAACAGAGAGTCCCCACAGTTCAGTGAAGGCATCAACCACGAGAACCAGTGCTCGCTATTCCTCTGGCACTCAGGTAACAAAGATTTTGACAGCATCTTTTAATTACCTTATTTATGAAAAGCCTACTGAGATATCTTCCAATCAGAAAGACTAATTGTCTTCTCATTATTGTCATTTACATGGTAAATGCATACCTCTGCGTTGTAGAATTATTTCTTCTTAAACAGTTACTTTGGTCTAATACAAATATGTTATTTTTTCTTGTAATTAGGGACTGATTTATAGGAAGGTTTATACCATCATGTTTCATTGAAATAAAGTTTAATAGAGTTTTAATTAAAAAAATAAGGAATTTTCATTATGTGCTAGAAAAATTGTTTACTTTAGGCTAAAATAAGCACAAATATCCTAGATAATACCACATGAGTAGGAAAAAATCTTTTTATAATCTACTATGCTTTTGTCTCACTGCTTTGTGTTAACAGAGTCGGATAAGGAGGATGTGGAATGACACTGTGAGAAAACAATCGGAATCATCTTTTATCTCAGGTGACATCAACAGCACTTCAACACTTAATCAAGGTCAGTCACTGGGAACATTTCAGTTTTAGAATCCATAAATTTATTACAGATTTTATATAATTTAACACAGGACAATTGATAAGAATATTTAAAAAAAATCTGGAACAAGTGTTCTCTAAAAGCAGAGTTTTAAAGTTATCCACCAGCATTTTGAAAACCATGTTCCCTTAACTGGCCCCTGCTATAGAAGTTGAATTCTTCAGTTCATGGGAATGTATTTAAATTAGTGTCATCAATAATTTAGCTTAAAAGCAAGATCATAATTTTAAATCTTTCCTAACCTTTATAGGTTAAATCTGAAATAGAAATATGAGTGCAGTAACATTTTAATGCATATTTGACTGATTTTTAGGTGCAGAAATTTTCCCAGTGAAATCTAATTGATATGATTTCTATGCAAAAGATGTCTGTAAAGCATTTATCTTTTCCATTTCAAAGAGCATCATATCTGTAACATGGGGTAGAATCCAGATTTTCAGGCAGAGAGGTCAAAACTCAAAACTTCTCATCTCATATAGACTTTGAAATCTTAACCTCATTCTCATATCCAGACAGAAAACAAGGGTGTTAACCAAGGCAGATTGTCCCTCCTTTCTCCCTTCCCACTGTGTCTTGGAGGCAGTTTGAGCCAGCAGTGGAGGGAGGACTGCTCTGTGCAAGCCAGGTTTGAAACCTGTTCTTCAACCCAATCCTTCAGTGAAGAGCAGGGAGCCCTGGCTCACTGCAACCAGTTCCTGCTCAACTCAGAAATTTCAAGCAAAAAATTCAAATTCAGGATTTGATAGCAGGGACGTGTATTTACATTAATTTTGGAAGTAAAAACTGTGGTGTTTGCAAAGCAAAAGGTATCAGAATGCATTATTCTCCTTTTGCTATTTGGTACATAGACCTGTGTGTCTTGCTGCTCCTCCCATCCCCCCTCTTATGAATCCTGCATGTTTTTCTGGTAAAAATCATAATTAAGTAACTTCTCCTAGGTAGGAAATGTATATTTTTCATGTCCCCTTCAGTGTCTTACTAAAATTCCGAAATTATAAGCACATAAAATTTGATATTTACCCTAATTTGTTGTCTTTGCCTCCTGAGGTTTGCTCTAACTGTGCTGCACTATTAGTTAATTCAGTGTTGAACAGAGTTTCTCCCTGTTTCAAGTTCCAGACTCAAGTCACTGGAGATGTTCTGCCAGGATTAGAAATATTGGTATCAACTCTATTCAGTTATGATTTTGTCACTATGTCAGTGATACATACGTATAAGGGTTGTTTTATAATTAATGACAAGTGTCATTTTTCCATTAAAATAAAAATCAGGCTTTTAATTAAGCTTTTTTTCCTTGTGACAAAGGAATTTGGATTGAAAAAAATCATAGCTATAAATTACATGTAATTATTCTAACCAAAATTAAATATAATATGCAAAATTTAAAAAAACAAGCAAAATGTATTTCAGTTATTATTTCTACTAAGAAGAACTTTACAATGGAAAAAAGCTATGATCATTTTTTTAGTTGATCACTAATACAAACTTTCAAATAAGATTAGCATAGTCAGACCATAATTCTCTGAGTGTAAGAAATTTCTGCTCATTTTTGCTACTAAGTAGCTCTGAAAGTACAAAAGCATTAATATTTGGAATATATATCATTCCTTGCCAAATAAAAATATTTATACTATAAAAATATAGCTGTCTAATTGTTCTTGGGTGTGTAATACACTGATCCTGATGTACTGCTTTGCAAAGTAATAAAAAAGAAACTTGAATTTTATCTTATTGAAATGTTTAAATTAATTTTTAAATCATGACATTTTTCTTGTAGTAGCTAGAAGTCAGAGATTAATTGACTTTTTAATAATTTCTCAAAATATGCTGTTTTTTTATCTGATTATTCTGAGAGTGTTTAAATGGTGTTGCATTAACATGCAAATTTGAGTTTACAACAGTTTAAAAGAGTCTATTCATGTCTGTTCTTTGTCTTACATTGTTTGTAAACTGATAGTTTCAAGAAATTTGTCGTTCAAGGAATTCTTTTTTAAAACCTGGCAGATACGTTTGCAGCATGAATGTCCCAGGAGAAAATGTGAATGCTCTGATTTCTTAGAGCAAATTTTTTTTCTTTTTTTTTTTGCTTTGCTTGGGAAGCACCTGTTTCTTATACACATCTTCTGTTTTCTTAGAGCAAATATTTTGCTTTCCCCTCAGCATGCATACTTTTGCATATACTAAGATATGCTTCTTGCAATTTGTCATCCACTGTCTGTTTGAAACCAGCAATTCCTTTCCACTATCTGTGTTTTTAGTAAAGTGAGTAACATCTCTGATCCTGTCATAAGAGGTTTTTCAATACATTTCAGTTTGAGAAATTCAGTTCTGTCAATTCTGGACAGAAGTGTTTCCTATGATCATTTTTAAAGTCCTAATAGCTTTATGTACTACCTTGATCTCTAAACATTTAATTGCTGCTCTTGTGTAACAGTGATTTTGTATACATTAGTAAATACCACTTTCACTAGATGTTTACTTTGGGGATTTGGACAGCACCTGTGAGTTACTGGAATCTAACTGTATTTTCCTGCTCCCATTTCCAATGCATAGCTCAAATACATCCAGAAATTTTCAGCTGAATTACATTTTAGAAATCCTACCTGATTCATGGTGAATAAAAATTACTCTTTATTGAAACTGTCAGGCTAAAATTAAGCAACTGACAATTTTTTTTTCTGTTTCTTTTGCTTTAGGAATGACTGGCAATTACCTACTAACAAACCCTCTTCTTCGACCACACGGCACTAACAACCCCTATAACACATTGCTCGCAGAAACAGTTGTATGTAATGCCCCTTCAGCTCCTGTGTTTAACTCACCAGGTGTGCTTATACTTCCTGAATAAACTGCTTTTCTTGGCTCACTCCAAATTCCCTCTTTTCCCTAGATAGAAACTGAAGTTGCAATACCCCAGCCGTACAGTCTGAATTTCTGAAATAAATTCAAGAAATGCAGTGTTGCCAATGTCAGCTTGTAAAACTGCACTATATTATAGTAATGCCTTTGCCCTAACAGTATTTACCAATAATTATCCATGTTTTTAACACAGGTGGCATAAATCTTAATATACTATTAAAGGACTGACACCACATGGTCCGAGAGCCCATCTTCAAGATATATATCACTTAGAGGTATCATGTCTCTGCAATATAAGGTTGACTCTAAAGCTTGCTGAGAAAACCCTGCTTATGGAATGGATGAGATGCTAAAGCAGTGCAAGGCATCTTGACGCCTTTGGATACCCTGGTGTAGAAAATTGTATCCAGTCAAACAGACCTGAACTATAGTATAGTGCAGCTTTATGGGAGACCATTTTCCTGTAGGAAAATCTTGAGATTAACAGTTAGAAAAGTTTAGTTCTGTAGGAATAAAGGGTGTCATCATTTACCTAACATTTTGTTGTTACATTATCTACTTGCTTTTTTTAACGATATTGCAGTTCATCAGTAAATATCTTGCAGATACTGTTTTGATGAGTCCTAAGATCACTTTAGTGTAAATAGAGTGATAAATCTTTGAAAAAGAGTTCATAAAACCTTGTTTCCAGTTTTTATTTCAAGTCTCCTTTTTAACTGAACTGTAGTTTCTATTTTCATTCTCTTGTTTTCTTACTTTCCTTATGCTTTCCTCTAGCAACCTACAGAGAGACAAGTATGGGAGTAAAACTTAACTTTGCCTATCAAATGTAAATTTTTTCAGCATGATTTTTAATGGGCACAATTAAAACATAACTAGCGGTCATGAAGTAGACTCAGCGGGCAAGTGGTTCACAATTTGCAAATAAAATGTTTCCACATTCAAAAAGTACTTGCAAACTGCTTTTTGGGAAACAACATGAGTTCTGTAGCAAACCCTATTGGTAACACAAGTTATGCAATGCTGAAATAATTTGCTGTTTAAAACCAAAGCAGTGTCATGCCGAAATGCTTAACAATTTACTTATATTTTTACATTCCTACAGTAATCTTGCTACAGGCTATGAAAGATTTCAAATTAATTACCTGATCATGGGCAACAAAATTTGCTTCATCAAACCAATTTGAATATATTCTAGAATGCTTAACTCTGCAGTATATCATAGAAAACTCATTTTGGATTATCAGATATATTTTGATATCTCTTTAGCAGAGGAAAAGAAAATTAAAATTACAGAATTAAATCACTTTCATGAGGGAAATGAATCCAGCATGTGGTCCATGTGTTGTCTACTTTTATAAATGCCATATGTTCTGCACAGCTAAATCCATTGCAAGAAAAATCTTGGAACATACATGAAATTGCAAAACCACATAGTTGTTTAATCAAAGCTTAAAGAGGCCTTTCAAACAACCCTCATCACTGTTAAAATCAGTACACATGGAGAAGAGTTAGCAATAACACAAATGCAAAACGACTTGCAAATTGCTCAGAATTTATTTGGAAATGATTATTCTGTTTTTTAAAGTTGAAGACAAAAATCTTTTCATGAGAAAATGCAATCTCTTTTTAATTGAAAACAATATTTCCAGAGAATATTGAATTTTCTAGGATAAGCTGCAGCTTTAATTATGAAAAAAGAAATCCACAAAAAACAAAAATGTAAAATCTTTTCCAAAAAACTTTTCCCTTATACTCCTCCAAGCCTTGCATATTATGCAGCAGCCTCACAGTGGTCAGTCTCATTTCAGTAAAGTCACTTCATTCTTTCTTTACTTCCAGACATATCTGTAGATAAAGTGCTTTTCTAGGAATGCTCTAACCATCTGATTTCCATGGTTCAGACTGTTTAATTTCTTGCAGAGTTTTTTTTTCTTTTTTTTTTCGNGTTTTTTTTTTTTTTTTTTTTTGCTTTGCTTGGGAAGCACTGTGTTTTTTTTTTTTTTTTTTTTTTGTGTCTATAGGAAAACATTTTTTTTTTTTTTTTTTTTTTTTAAAATGCCAAAACCCAAAGCATAAAGACTTTAATCATCATAAGACTTCATTTCCCCCCCCCCTCTTAAACTCCTTTTCATGTTTTCAGCAGACTTACCCAATCTGTCATTCCCTCAACAGCTATGAGATATCAGCCATGGCTGATTTCCTCTTCCCATTCCACAACTAATATTTATTCTTTGGTTTAATTTCTGTGACCCATACTTACAGAAATTCCTAACATTTCTGCATTTGACTTCCATGCCCATGGTAACTGTGGGCCTAGCTCTTAATTAACTATTCTGGTTCATTCAGTGCTGTCACTGTGACTGATGCAGACTGCAGGCAAACTTTGACCTTTAGGAACCTGGGGCCTTTGTTGGCAGACAGAATATTAGTGCAAAAAATTACATTAAATGGGAAAAGAAAAGCTGTTATTGCTTAGTAATCTAATTTGCTGAACCCTTGCTCTGACTAAGTTGCTGAGAAGCTCAGTTATTCTTCATCATGTTACAATAAATCATTTTACTTTCTTTTATATATCAGCTACTCTTAGGCCAGATAGCCTGAGCAGACAGACATGATGTGAGTTGTCCAAAGTGAGTCATTCCACCTGCTGTCTATCGTGTTGTTGGATGGTGCTTGTGGGCCCTGGTCCCTGTAGTGTGAAAGATGGCTGTCCTTGTTTAACATAAATTCTTTGTATTTATCCATTTTTTTTCATTCTTTTCTTTACTTCATCTCAAAAAAAAAAAAAACCAAAAAAAACCAGGAAAAAATATTAGAAATGTTGTTAAAGTAGTTGCTTGCCAGTTATGTGGGTTTATGTTGTACATTTACCTTCAGTTATGTCTGTGATCTAATTCCTTTTTAATTTAGTGTTGTTTAGGACAAATTCTGTTAATTTTCTTTTTCTAAATCATGGTGATGCACTTCAAAACATAGATGTTTCCAAATGAATTGCTTTGCATTACATATGCAAGGGCATGGAGTGAACAGTTCCTTGTGGAAAAGTCACATAATTGACACTAAATTAAGAAATTCAAATGCCACTATTCCCCACAGAAATTACACGTTACTATTTTTAGAATGCATCTTTCCTATAAGGTGTGCAAATGTTTACATTTGGGAATGTTCAATAACCTAACTTTTCTCAAGTTTTACTTCCAAGTACAACTTTGTCCTGAACTACATTAAAGAACTTTGTTAAAAAGAAAAAGAAAAAAAAAAAAACAAACAGGTGATAAAAACATGTCGGGCAATAACCAGAGCTGTCTTTTTCAATTTCAGGACATTCACTGAACAATGCCAGGGATACAAGTGCCATGGATACTCTACCGCTAAATGGTAATTTCAACAACAGCTACTCACTGCGCAACGGAGACTATAACGACAGCGTGCAAGTTGTAGACTGTGGACTAAGCCTGAATGATACAGCTTTTGAGAAAATGATCATTTCAGAGTTAGTGCACAACAACCTGCGGGGCAGCAGCAAGAACCACAACCTGGAGCGGGCGCTGCCAGCCAAGGCCGTGATCGGCGGGAGCAGTAGCGAAGATGACGCCATCGTGGCAGACGCCTCATCTTTGATGCACAGTGACACCCCCGGGCTGGAGCTCCACCACAAAGAGCTGGAGGCCCCCCTCATCCCTCAGCGGACTCACTCCCTTCTGTACCAGCCCCAGAAGAAAGTGAAGCCCGAGGGAACTGACAGCTACGTCTCACAGCTGACGGCCGAGGCTGATGACCACCTCCAGTCCCCCAACAGAGACTCTCTTTACACGAGCATGCCCAACCTCAGAGACTCTCCCTATCCAGAGAGCAGCCCCGACGTTGAAGAAGACCTCTCTCCTTCCAGGAGGAGTGAAAATGAGGACATTTACTACAAGAGCATGCCAAACCTAGGGGCTGGCCATCAGCTTCAGATGTACTATCAAATCAGCAGGGGTAATAGCGACGGCTATATCATTCCCATTAACAAAGAAGGATGTATTCCAGAAGGAGATGTTAGAGAAGGACAAATGCAACTAGTGACAAGCCTTTAATAGTGTAGCAAAGAAATATTAAAGGTCACGTTCAAGTATTAAAAAGACTTAATTGGCCCCGTGCAGGCTCCCTCATATCTGCTCGAAGAGACAATTCTGTTGACCCTGTGGTTCTCCAGTAACAGGGATGACTGGACCTCGCAGTTCTGTGAATTTTTATAAAACAAAAACTTTGTATATACACAGAGTATACTAAAATGAATTATTTGTTACAAAGAAAAGAAATACCAACAAGGTATTTACGATATCTTCTGCTGCTGAATTTAACAAAATTGTGAAAAAAAAAGAGAAATAAACACTTTCCAGCCATTTTACTGCAGCAGTTTGTGAACTAAATTTGTAAATATGGCTGCACCATTTTTTTTTTCCTAGGCCTACATTGTATTATATACAAGGCGTAGGCTTTAAAATCCTGTGGGACAAATTTACTGTACTTTACTGTTCCTGACAAGACTTGCAAAAGCAGGAGAGATATTCTGCATCAATTTGCAATTCACTGCAAATCTTTTCCATTAGGGCAAAGATTGAATACATGTCTAACCACTAGCAATCAAGCCACAGGCCTTATTTCATATATTTCCTCAATTGTACAATGAACCGTTCTCATGAAAAAATGGCTAAAGAAATTATATTTTGTTCTATTGCTAGGGTAAAATAAATACATTTGTGTCCAACTGAAATATAATTGTCATTAAAAATAATTTTAAAGAGTTTGAAGAAAATATTGTGAAAAGCTCTTGGTTGCACATATGTTACAAGCTGTTTTTCTTACACTGTTCATAGTACGATAGTTTGTTTAAAATACAAGTTCTACCTGTTTTCACTTATTTTTTCACTGTAAACAGTGTTCTGCTTTGACAAGTTAGTTTTTATTAAGTTTTGAATTTTTATTGCCAAAAAAACATAATTTGGAGAGAAAGTTGTTTTAGAAGCCAATTATGCCAAGCCTTGCACAAATTTGGTGTAGCTAACAAAGATTGTAACTCAATTCCCTGTTCATTCTTTAATCAGGGTTGGGTGGTAAGGGGTAAAGGGGACACTGGACACTTCTCACAAGCTTTCTCGTGAATGAAAGGTGCCTGTCCTTTAAAAAAATAAATAAAACAGAACTATAACTCTTCCATATTCCTTCTGCCTATATTTAGTAATTAATTTATTTTATGATAAAAAATCAAATGAAATGTAAATTGTTTCAACAAAATTCTGCTTTTTTCATCCCTTTGTGTAAACCTGTTAATAATGAGCCCACCACTAATACCCAGTGTAAAGTTTAACACCTGTTTGACAGTAAATAAATGTGAATTTTTTTCCAAATAGGTAAAATGTGCATTATTATGTACAAAGCATAATTGGCATCAGCATTCCTTCAACCCAGATGTGTCCTGCCTAGAATGGCATCTTTACATTTCCTGATTTAAATGTCGAGAATTCAACAGAAACTGTCTATAGCTCTACAGAAGACAGGTCATCTTTACTTTTCTTTTGTCAAGATTGAGTAGGCTCAAACCCAGATATAGCAGGGTCATTAGGAAAATGTACTGTAAATTCATATATTTGCATAACTTTTAAGTAGGCATCTGCACTGAAATTAAAAATAAGGTGGTAAACACCACTCTCATGTTCTTGGCAACAGTAATTAGCAGTTAATTATTAGTGATGAAGATACATTGTTGCAGTGGGGAAAACACAAATAAGCAGCATTTGGCTAGCACTCTGAGTGCTATCTAAATAATTCATCCATCATGGCACTGGTTTGTGTTAGATAAATAAGCATGACTGTCCCTATTTTTATCAAGCTAGAGAATTGCAGAAGGCAGCTGATGCCCAAGATGTTATCTACAAATCAGTAGCTAAATTGAAATCTTTGTTGTGTTGATTCCCAAGCCTCTTTTGTTCCTCTCATCCAGGGCCTTTCAAAGATAGTATCAAGGACTGCATTTGTCACCACTTCCTAAACTGTGTTCTTTCAAATAACTCTCAAATTAATGCCCCATCATCACAGAGACCACAGTTTCATCTGTGGCCACTATTACTGTATGGTAACAGCAAAAATTAACTTGAAAGCTGTATCATTACCTTCTAATGCATTGGAATATATGAAGTCCTTTTGGAAAATAAATCGATGCATTTTTAAGAAGTTTGGATTTCAGAAGAATGTTTTGGGCGAGACTTCCTACTGCTGAGAAAGTTCAAGCTCTAAAAAACTAAAATCCAGGCTGAGATGGAACTGTGGGGTTCAGGTAACCTCAATATTCTATTCAGGACTGTGACACTAGCAATTGTTCAGAAGTAAAAAAGCATCTTCCAGCATCAGTCACTGGTAACTCTTGCCAGTAAGTTCCTTAACACTTAAAAGTTACTGTGTTTGCAGTAGAGTCACTGAAACATTAAAAATTTAATCAGAAAGGGTTTACTTCTGTTTAGTACAGAATGCTTTAAAAATCTGAAGTCTCTATGAAATAGGACTTAGTTCTGATTCAGGGTACACAGCAGACTTCTTGGAACAAAATTTATTCCCTTGGACTGTCTGGCAAAAGCATACTTGCTGCCTTTTACCTAGGAAATCATGTTCTTAAGGATTTCAAAATTATGGTACTCATGTAATTCCAGTACACATGACCTAATAACATCACCAACTTTCTGCCGAATCTTCAACCCTATTTAGAGCAATTACTCCTTTATGTCTAACTAAAGGTGGCAAAACTACATACTGGAGAAAGGTTTGTAGCATTGTGATCTTAAATACATATTCAATTGCAAATATAACTAGTATTCGTAAAACCAGAAAATGTAGCTGATGAACCTAAGATGAACCAGCTGAACCTAAGTATCATAAGGGAATTCTTTTGTTAGTTTCTTTGTATTGTAGATGTTGCTTTTTAGTGAGCCTGGGGGTTTTTTTGGGTTTGTTTTTTTTGGGGTTTTTTTTTTTTTTTGGGTTTTTTTTAAGTGTTGAGCTAGTGAGTGTCCTGTGTTTAGCCAGCAGCCAATACATTGCCAAATTTCTGTTGGTGTAATTTCTCAGTGTAGTAGGTTACAGTATAATTATATAGTAGACAGCTTATTGTAATTTATGTTCTAACATTCCTGCCATCTTGTCTTGGGATCAGAAGGACAGAAGAATTCAGAGGAAGAGTTCAAGAATATTGAAATAATGGCAGCAGAATTAATGGAAAAAAGTGTTTCTTCAGGCTCATCAGTTAACCAATTCCTATGATGGTGCCCACAATATGTTGCTATTTCAGGCACTATCTTTCAGAAGAGCTGTAATTTTCTTATGGCTGGTAATCGCCTGTTAGTATCAGTGTTAACCCTACTGGCTCAGTTCAATTCTTCCTTGTAACTTCAGTCCAGTTATATTAATTCCTACAAAAGATTGAATGGGATGTGCATTTAGTGAACTGTTGTATAATGGTGCTATGCATTGTCTAATATAAAATACATCTCAATTCTACATAAGTGAACCATAACATGAAGAAATGCAACACTGGTAATAACTTCTTAGTTAAAACTAACATTTATCTGTAAATTCTACAATACACCTTTGCTTATTTTAAATTTGAAATGAAGTTACTAATAAAGTTTACATATATTCACTTATGTAGGCAATAAAAAGTGTTTCAAGTTGCCATAAATTATGGATAAAATATGTGTCATATTTGATGTTCTAAGTTTTAAGGGTTTTTTTTTTACTACTCAGACATTAACAGAGCAACAAAAAAGTAAATGGTCTCTGTGTACTGTAGCTGGTGTTACCCTCCTTTGCCTCAAAAACAACTAAACTTCTCTTATAGATTTGATAGATTTGATTCTATGACAACATACAGTAGTGTAACTTAATCCCTGAATAAAATTACTTTTCAAAATCAAGCCACAGGTAGATAATCATGTAAATATGTACAGATATACACACACAATATTTTAATTCACTAATTCTAGGGAACGATGAAGAACTTAAAAAGATGGGATTCAGCAGTAATCCTTCAGTTTTTCAGTAATCCAACAAAGACACGCCAGAGAGATCACAGTAAAGCATTCCTTAATTTTTAAAAAAATAAATGGTGACAGTCATTTCCCACATTAATGAAGAGTGGTGGTACTGTTGCAGTGAGCAAGGATCTTGCTATATGGCTGCACTGTGGGATGAGGATCCCAGATTCATGGATGCCACTGGTATTCTGTGTCTCTATTCCACAGTGACACCACAGTTTTGCACTGAATTGGAGATAAAAAATTATCACTGTCACACCTGGAAGCAAGAGATCTGTGTCTTTCATTTGCACAATCACTTTGTAAATTATTAGGAATTCAATTATTGGCTACAGCTCAATCATCTGGCTCTGCCAAAAGTCTGGAGTAAAGGTTCATTAGGAGCCTGTCTGTTTCAACAGAGTGTTTAGGGCTTTTTTCAGTAAAATCTTCATGTGGTTTTTAGAACGACAACTTCCAAATCCTTTTATTCATGCAGGATAAATTCTCAATGGTATTTCATTAATTCATGCCTAAGAGCATTAATATCTCTTCTTAGTGTATTATGTCATCATTAATCTCAGCTGCTCCCCATCCAAGCTCCTGGCATGTGCAGGGGATCACACCATGGTGCAGCCTGAGTGGTTATAAATGCTACTGAAAATCACACAAACCTCTACTCAGCAGCAAGGAGATTTTAAAGGACCTTTCAATATCATGCACCAGCTGCTGCAGACATCATTCTGGAATCCCAGATGGGGGAAGTCACAGTTGCATAAATTATACTCAGAATAGGTAGCTCCATAAAGAAAATTTTTCTACAGAAAAGTTTGTGTACTGAGCAATTTCTTCCTTGGGTGTACACCTTCTTTTATATGGTTAAGTAGGAACCCTGGCACAACGTAGACCAGTTCAAATTTTAGGCAGCAAAGCTGAGCACAAAAGCATCAGTGCACATTAAATGCTCAGGTTCCCAAAAAGGAGGCAGTAGATTAGTACCTGTAATCTGTTTTTTTAAATGGAGAACCTGGATCTGTGTAGACAGCATTGGACTAACTGGTCCAGTCCTATTGTAGCATTAGAATTGTTTTAAAATAACATAATGCTGCTGAACATTTAGCTTCCATGATTGCTTAACAGAATGATTCCCAAAGGTTAATGAGGTTCTCATGCAAATAATTAATTTTAATTCTCTTTAAATAGACCACATAGCTTTTCTTTTTTTTTTTTTTGCACTAGTAATATAAATAGAAGCTTCTTAACTTGTATTCATAACACTACTCATTGTTTTAAACACTTGCCCTCAGTTTCCTATTACTTTTTGCTAAACAAACACTTGTTTTCAGCATCCTCCACCTCTCTAATTATTTAGTTGCCAGTCTTCAGAGTTACTTTTTGCAGTATGCTTTAAATTAAATTTAAATTTAAATTTATGGGTTCACGTTGATATACGGATGGGAGTTGTATCTTTTATTCTGTGCTACTGCCACCCCTCCATGGTCTCACATGTTTTGTTTTCATAGGATCCCTTCACAGCACACTATTCCACTAGGCTGGACATAGTAAGTAATGACCTAAATAGTTATGGTTAATTTAGAGCCCAGCAAAGCCTACAAATACTTCCAATTATTCCCTTGAATGTGTGCCCAACCTTGCATTTCTCAGCATTGCATTTCATCTGCATCACACTGCCCATTTATTCACTTTGTTAACCCAGGTCAATCACAATCTTCCCTAGTTCTGATTAACTGAAGTAATTCTGTGCTAACAGCAAACAGTGCCACCTCCCCAGCAGCATGTTCATCCCCATTTTCAGATAGCACCAGTTGAACAGTGTAGGGGCACTAGACCATTAGCCTTTTGTCATGCTAAAAAAATCAACCATTTAATCCTGCTCTACCTCTTAGTTTCTAATGCACAACTACTTTAGCTCTCGCTTCCTTAATACGTATTTGCTTTAATGGTTTCTTGGTAGGCATATTTTTATATGGATTTTTTTTTTTCTTTTTTAAATCCAAATAAATTACATCAACCATTCCCTCTAGCTGCACATTCCCCAACAGCTGCACAATTGACTTAATTTTAGTATGTTACAGAGGCACAATTTTCTTGCTCTAAGCAGTTAAGTCTCTTTTGGCAATGTTTCCTCTACAGTTTGTGCTTAAATGTGGATCTGCTAGATGTCAGACCCAAAAAGCACTTCACTGTTCAAAGTGAAACTTTGGTGGAATTTAGGCACTTAAATCCCAGGTACAACAGACATTACTTCAGGGCTAGAATGAATTCTAATCTGGAAGACAAATATGTTTTTGTCAGTAGAGCATTTTTATCATCCCAGGTTTAGT